ACAGCATGTGAAATTTATTGTCAATCAGTGTTGCTTCCTAAGTGGACAGTTTGATTTCACAGAAGTGTGATTGACTTGGAGTTCCATTGTGTTGTTTAAGAGTTCCCTTTATTATTTTGAGCAGTGTATATAGCCAAGTTATCATTGACCCGGTACAGATACCCCATGTATATAGCCAAGCTATCATTGACCCGGTACAGATACCCCATGTATATAGCCAAGCTACAGTTGGAGGGAAAAAAAGTATTTGATACCCCGCTGATTTTTGTACATGGCCCACTGACAAAGAAATGATGCATTCTATAATTTTAATATAGTAGGTTTATTTGAACAGTGAAGAGAACCAGAATAACACAACAAAATCCAGAAAAAACGCATGTCAAAAAATGTTCTAAATTGATTATGTCCATTTTAAATGAGGAGAAAAGGAAGTTATTTGACTCCCTCTCAATCAGAAAATTTCTGGCTCCCAGGTGTCTTTTATTATACAGGTAACGATATGTGGTCCTCTGTAGCTCAGCGTAGCAGTAACGCAAGGTGTGGTTCGATCCCGGGATCACATACCAAATGTATGCATGACTTATCGCTGGATAAAAGCTCGCTAGGCATTTATATTATTATATATTTTAAACGAGCTGAGATTAGAAGCACACTCTTAAAAGGGAGTGCTCCTAATCTCAGCTTGTTATAAAAGACACCCGTCCACAGAAGCAATCAATCAATCAGATTCCAAACTCTCCACCATGGCCAAGACCAAAGAGCTCTCCAAGGATGTCAGGGACAAGATTGTAGACCTACACAAGGCTGGAATGGGCTACAAGACCATCGCCAAGCAGCTTGATGAGAAGGTGACAACAGTTGGTGCGATTATTCGCAAATGGAAGAAACACAAAAGACCTGTCAATCTCCATCGGCCTGGGGCTCCATGCAAGATCTCACCTCGTGGAGTTGCAATGATCATGAGAACGGTGAGGAATCAGCCCAGAACTACACGGGAGGATCTTGTCAATGATCTCAAGGCAGCTGGGACCATAGTCACCAAGAAAACAATTGGTAACACACTACGCCGTGAAGGACAGAAATCCTGCAGTGCCCGCAAGGTCCCCCTGCTCAAGAAAGCACATATACAGGGCCGTCTGAAGTTTGCCAATGAACATCTGAATGATTCAGAGGAGAACTGGGTGAAAGTGTTGTGGTCAGATGAGACCAAAATGGAGCTCTTTGGCATCAACTCAACTCGCCGTGTTTGGAGGAGGAGGAATGCTGCCTATGACCCCAAGAACACCATCCCCACCGTCAAACATGGAGGTGGAAACATTATGCTTTGGGGGTGTTTTTCTGCTAAGGGGACAGGACAACTTCACTGCATCAAAGGGACGATAGACGGGGCCATGTACCGTCAAATCTTGGGTGAGAACCTCCTTCCCTCAGCCAGGGCATTGAAAATGGGTCGTGGATGGGTATTCCAGCATGACAATGACCCAAAACACACGGCCAAGGCAACAAAGGAGTGGCTCAAGAAGAAGAACATTAAGGTCCTGGAGTGGCCTAGCCAGTCTCCAGACCTTAATCCCATAGAAAATCTGTGGAGGGAGCTGAAGGTTCGAGTTGCCAAACGTCAGCCTCGAAACCTTAATGACTTGGAGAAGATCTGCAAAGAGGAGTGGAACAAAATCCCTCCTGAGATGTGTGCAAACCTGGTGGCCAACTACAAGAAACGTCTGACCTCTGTGATTGCCAACAAGGGTTTTGCCACCAAGTGCTAATTCATGTTTTGCTGAGGGGTCAAATACTTATTTCCCTCATTAAAATGCAAATCAATTTATAACATTTTTTACATCTGTTTTTCTGGATTTTTTTTGTTATTCTGTCTCTCACTGTTCATATAAACCTACCATTAAAATTATCGACTGATCATGTCTTTGACAGTGGGCAAAGGTACAAAGTCAGCAGGGGATCAAATACTTTTTTCCCTCACTGTATCATCGCTCATTGTGGATTTAATCCTTGTGTTACAATTTATTTTCTATTGTTTATTTTTTTTATTGTATTCTGAATTGTTGGGAAGGCCCATAAGTAAGCATTTCACTGTTAGTCTACACCTGTTGTTTATGAAGCATGTGACAATATAAAATTTGATTTGATGGGGCGGAAGTCAGTGTGTTGTTATGATTCTGGACAATCAGGTTGCCAGCAACAATGACAAGAAGCTGCCATGTGAGGAATCATAGTAGGTGGCTTGTTATCTTGTTTTGACTCATGTCATGTCTATGCTAATATGGCGAAAAAATTGTTAGCTAACCAACAACTGTAACAATGTATTTGAGAGACAACAAGTGCTCATTGTGCAAATATATTTATGATTTCAATAAAGATTTGGAAAGGAAACATAGTTTACATGTCAACAATCCTTTGATTCTAAGCCAACCCCCCCTGTTTTGCTCCATGGTTGCACATGCATCGATTTTGTTGCTAAACAATCTACCCGTCTATAGGAGTTAGTGGAGAGGGGAGAGGTACTGCCCTTCACAGGGCCTGACATGATTCCATCTCCATCAGTCAAGATGGAGTCCGGTCCCAGAGCTCCATGAACAAACACACACAACCTCATCACAGACGCAAGGCAGAAAGAATACAGACGGAACGCAACTCAGAACACAGACAACTCTCAGACTGAATGCAAAACTGAACCCAGACAAAACAATGAGCGATGGAACACTCCAATGGGTTGTTCTATTTCAGGGGATGTTCCGCAGCTGTTTTGTCTGTTATCTTCATCATTAAACCACCATCATCATTCTGGCCTCTAATCACCCCTAACCACAGATAGAGGGTCAGATCTTTTTACACCCCCTAATGGTGAAGGTTATGATTGGGGGTAGGGTAATCTGGTCCTAGATCTGTGGTTAGAGGCAACATACAGTACATGGCGCTGCTGCAGAAATAAAATTCCCATAAGGCCTAGAGTTACCTAAAGTGTCACTGAGCATCATGACAGTCCCTGCACTGACATCACAGCACTGACTACATCACTGATGACATAAGCCTATACAGCTTGTTAGACTCACGTAATAGGCTACTAATTGAAAAACATTGTGAGACACAATCTATCCTATATGAGGTGCAGTCTGGGTGACAGTTGTTCATGCCTGGTCTAAGATTGGGCTACCAACATTCACAATCTGACACTTTCAAAACATCTATTTATATCACACATCCAGTCTAATGATACTGACTGTCTGATTTAGAATGATGGAGGCACAAATAATTATGCATTAAAGCCTGAGAACACCAAACTAGTGTGGCTGGATAAATACATAAATAAATGAATAATAACAAACATGGAGCCAAACTAAAAATGTAACATGATAGGTCAAGGTCAAATGTCTTTAAATGAAGTTAGTATTTATAAGACGAACATTTCGATTAAGTTGTTACTGTAGACCTAATAGGCTCCAGAGCAGAGAGAATGACAGCTGGCTAGACAGAATAGCAGCCTATGCGATGGCCTCTCTCTCTCTCTTCAGTGTTAATTGGTGTTCCTATCCGACTGAACAGGAAAACAAAGCTCTGCTAGCGCAAAAGCAAAACAAACACTGTACAAACAAAGCCAGCCTTGACACAATCGATGCGTGACATTACGCATACGCACCCTACTTGTCCTGTGTGAGTAAAGGACCATAAAACATGTTTAGGGAAGAGCGTTCCCGGATGAAAGCTTCAAATGACATGTAGATTAACGTACACACGCAGAAATAAAACAAATCAGACATGTGCGAATATGTAAACTATGGGATACACCCGTCTGGGGTTTTAAACTCCCTTTGACAGAATGGATGTCACATGCATAAATCGGACCGTTTTAGCAGCTAATAGTTTTACAGAAAAGCAGCTAAACAGATTGACAATGGCTGCATTTAGTTAAAGTAGCAAGATTGTTTCAAACTTGAATCGATTGGATACAATGTAAAGGGCAGCATCAATTTCAACCATTTGAACAATAAACGTAGGGTAAACCTACCTAGCTAGCTATCTCGTAAGGAACTAATAAAATACGAATACGTACGGTACAAGAGTCTATTTTGTATATTTCTCTCGGATGTCTTTGCTGCTGTCTCGATTCTCTATGTAACCGAGCAGGTTTTTCTGGTCACGCCAGCGGTGTGTTGTATGCTGGGCAAAACGTCAGAGGAATATGCGTTTGTGCGAATTAAAATGTACGGAATATTTTAAGAAGGCAGTGCAGAATTCCATTTGGTCTGATTCGAGATGAGCCACAGTCCCGGGATACGCGGCTCGCACAGCACATTTATCTACCAGCCCATTGGTCCTTTCCCCTGTGACGTGGAGGGAATTTCATATCCGGATCACAGAAAAATTAAGATTCCATGGATAATAGCAGCCATGCTCTAGAAAAACATACTCGAATAGTGTTTTGATTATGGCTGTATATTTTTGTTGAGTAAAAATTATTTATAAATGGGAAAAAGTCAATTTGACCCTTGAACCGGTGAAGCAAGATGGCCCTACTGTAGGCCTATCAGTTAGAGACCACAAAACAGGTCTTCACCAAACCTCAGTGAACGCTGGAATTCACGCCTTTAAGGCTGAGCAACTAGGGGTGACTCATAGTATATAATCTTTTCTAGTAATATATATACTCAATAAGATATTTCATAAAATATTTTTGGTTAGAAGAAGCCTAACCGGAGTTGTGCGTGGTGTTTTCTATTCATATACTGTACTGTTTTTATGTTGTGTTATGCCAAAATCACAAAAAGATTGACAATATTCTTAAACAATTTCAAATGTATAGATTTTCAAACATGCCTAGCCTGTGAGTTTGAAAAACGACAATAAAATAAAGACAGTGGCTGCAACGTTAAATGATTTCAAATAAACTAACGACCACACAGTGAGTAATGATTGACTACTATAAAGGCCACATCACTTAATCATATCTGATGGTTTTATAATGAGAAAAACAAACACTCATTGGATTAAAGTAAAGAATGTTTCAGACTTTATTCAGTGGCTTTAATAATACACCTCAAAGATACATATTTACACATATACACAGATATGAATGCATATCATTAATTATATAACATCTGTATCAATACTTGTTACCATAGGAAAATAAAGAAAAAAATAATGCTGCAATGTGCTGCATAACGATGTGACACACAGTAACAACATTCTAATCTCACTGGGTGCAAATCGAAAATATATACAGTAGAACAACACGTTATAAAAACAGTTATAAACAGTTATAACTAAACGGTTATAACCAAAACTGTTTAAAACCTTTTATTGTGTGTGCTGAAATTTGAGACAACCATCATTCTGAGTTGATCTTTCAGCACAGGATGTATAGTTATATTCCATCTTCGGTTTCCAGTGTACAGACTGCATTCTCAAATGAGCGAAAGGATGATATTTGTATTAATATATTTCCTCTCAGGAGTTTTAAGAAATTACCATGAAAACATGCCCCACAAACCAATTAATAAAATATCTTTGATATACTTAGACCCACGAAAACATATCCATGGTCTTCATACACATCATACACATATTCAATGAAAAATACGAGGTATAGGATAATATCTGTACACATCTTTCTCAAATAAATTAACTTATACACATTGATTAACGCATAAAAATAATGCCTTTAAAGTTTATATGCTCTGGTACAGTACGCAGTTATTTCAACATCAATCGACCTGACATTAATCTTTTTACGGGAATCTCAATCTTCAGGGGATTTCTGTGTAGTGTATAGGATTTAACTTTGAGCCAAGAGAAAAATATTCAGAAGAACATCCTGACCACTGTTATTGTTGAAGTTTCTATGATATCTGACCGTCCTGTAATATCACCCCTGCCTAAAGGAACACCTGGTAGTTTAAATATCACCCTGCCTAAAGGAACACCTGGTAGTTTAAAGCCCAGCTCTCAGATCACTGGGAACAAAGCCAAGAGACAGCACAGGTGGAGGAAGGAGAAACAGGGAGGGAGAGGGACTGGAAATGTACTGGAGTGCCTCTGGACAAAGCCATAGATGTACAGAGTTGACCAAACTCAAAAAGTATTTAATGACAATAATATTCTAATTTGCATTCTTGCTAGAATGTGATTGTCTTGGTAATTTTACAGTTCAGTTTGTCTTGGGGGATCCAGTAGAAACATATTAAATATAAATCCATCATCTATTTTTAAAGTCACTCATGAGAGGACTGAGGACATAGTGAGAGGTTGACTGCCTGATACTGAGAGAAACATTACGACACAACCGGTTACCAGAGTCCACAGGAGAGAGACTGAGGCGTCTGTCTGTTGAAGTGTTGAGTTCAGTAGAGTAGCTCCTGGCTCCATATCACCTTGTTGGAGTGGGAGGTGCGATACCACACTAGGCTAACAAAGCCTGCCTGTGTGTGAGACTCAGGTCAGGTGAATGGAGCGGGTGTGTCCTTCCTTGTTCATCTCTATCAAACAGGTAGGGGAGAGGCCTGAACTTCCTGTTCTCAGTACGAGTCACCATACGATGATTCCCCAATGTGTGCTAGCCCTCAATCACTGTAAAAGGCTAGGACACTACCCCTCGTCCCTGAGAGTAGAGTATGTCCAGAGGAAAGCAGTCATTCATTACCTTCCCTTCACATTGACAGATAAGCAGCTATTAGACTGCTTTCTGCTACATTCCAGGCAGCCTCCACTTCAGTGTGAGAGTGAAGTATCTGTGGACTCTAATGAAAACCAACTTGTGCAAGCATTTCACTGTAAAGGCTACACCAGTTGTATTCAGCGCATGTGATAAATAACATTTGATTTGAACAGTAGTTGAGGGGAAAAGTGCACATGTCATTTGAACAGCCAACCACTGGGTGGCGCTGTAGCTGTGTCTCAGGGCTCAGAGGGGGTGGGACTTTAAGGCTTGATGTCAGAGAAACTTGTGTAGGTTTCACTGCAGCTGGAGGAGGTGCTGAGGTTGGCAGTTACACTGCCCTCTGTAACAACAAAACACAGACAAGTTCGTTTTCATTAGAGTCCACAGATAATTCTAAAACAAACTAAAATATAGACACACTCCTGTTAATTTTCAAAATAGGTATTTGGGTTGCAAGATACAGTTCTTTCTTACACAAACCGAGAGAGAGAGGCAATGAGAGACAGAAGAGAAAGAGGCACAGACAGACTGACAGACAGAGCCAGTGTACCTGAGCTGCAGAGGGACTGCGAGGACTTGGACTCTGTGATGAGGGTGAGAAGGTTGGCTACTGCTACCCAGCCATCTTTGTTGCTCCCCAGGTTTCTAACAAACCACTGTCCGTCATCTCCCTCTTTAATGAGCTGCACCATGTCTCCACTCTTCACTGACAGGTCCTGAGGCCCTCCTTTCTCCTTCTCATAGTCCGCCACCACCGTGAACCTGTCGCCGACAGCCTGGGGTCACAGGGTAAAGGGAAAAGTTAATATGTTTGTGTCCAGTGTGTCATGTTACCATGTATGTTGCTAGGGAATAACAAACCACTTTCATAACATGTTTTAGACATGTTGGCGACCATGACTCACCAGCTTCCTGCCTCCCTCATCCTCAGGGTCAGAGTTCATGGGGTCCTCGGCGCTGGAGTACCCATCAAGCTCTTCTGGCGCGTCCATGGAGAGAGAGGCCTTGTTCCAACCTACGGGGAGGAGGGAAAGAGAAGGAGAGTAGGAAAGAGAGAAGGGGGAGTAATATAATTCAGCAAACTCGATTGATATCTAGATTAAGATTTAGCAGTGGCACCAACAATTTCAAGACACATCCAAGATAGATTTCAATTTAGAGACTGTTATTATCATGGACTGTTTGATCCCAACATGGAGGATAGTTTGTCAAACTAGGGAAAGGGAGTGACACCAAGAGGAAAGGAGGGGTGACACAATCGTACACAAGACAAGGTGATATGTACAGTGATAGGTGACGTGTGTGATGAGAACTTGATGCAAACACATCCATTGAGAGAGTACACTGCAAATCCTCAAACAGAACCACAAGAACCAGATTAGAACCCAAAGAATGTGATTAAATAACCAAGAAGAACAGACCTGGAGTCATAGCATCCAGTGAGACCTAGATCAGTGCATTGTGATCAGACAGAAACACAGACACACAGCAACCAACACCAGCCAAGACCAACACTGCAACACATGCTACTGAGAGAGAGACACAGTTTGCCTTACAGTAAACAAACATCACAAATCAGTATTTTCCGGTTGTGAATATCACACAGATATTCAATTGAAATCTCAGAGAGAAGATTTGTCTGCGATTGTGGAACAAGCTAGTGAAGAAGCAGAGCAAGGTCCAGGTCAACCACACAGTGAAGCAGCGTGTTCCTCCCAGGCATGTTTTCACTCTACCTCTCCTCTTGGCCTGTAAGAGACTAGAGGTGCTGAGCCACTTGGCCCTGCTCAGAGTGATGTGAGGAGTCTGACCAGGCTCTGAGGAGAAGAAGCAGCGGCAGTCAGCAGTCTTCTCCTACAACATCGTCCAGATGAATGCTGTGTCAAGTACACAGGTGTGTGGTTGACTCATCCATCAGTTTTACAAAGGCCTTTGAGGCCAACATGGCATGTCATTAATTTGTCACTTGTTTAAAACAAGAGAGTGTTGTACGTATCTTCTGTGTCAACGATCATCAAATTTAGAATGAACTCTTATATCTCCATTTTGTAGTCCCTCGTCAGTCCAGTGTCTTTAGCTAGACAGTCCCATGGCACTCAGCGGGCCCTGGTGGCTGAACGTCTTACATTTATCTACCACAATTCATTCCCTCCCGTTACTCAAATAATGATTGCATGATGGTCACACAGAGATACATTTTGGGAGGATGGGGAGTTGACATGGTGCTGAGATGACTACAGTGAGGGAGAGTCAGGATGGGGTGAATGACTATAGTGAAGGGAGGGTCAGGATGGGTGGATGACTACAGTGAGGGAGGGTCAGGATGGGTGGATGACTACAGTGAGGGATGGTCAGGATGGGTGGATGACTACAGTGAGGGAGGGTCAGGATGGGTGGATGACTACAGTGAGGGAGAGTCAGGATGGGCGGATGACTACAGTGAGGGAGAGTCAGGATGGGCGGATGACTACAGTGAGGGAGAGTCAGGATGGGCGGATGACTACAGTGAGGGAGAGTCAGGATGGGCGGATGACTACAGTGAGGGAGAGTCAGGATGGGCGGATGACTACAGTGAGGGAGAGTCAGGATGGGCGGATGACTACAGTGAGGGAGAGTCAGGATGGGTGGATGACTACAGTGAGGGAGGTCAGGATGGGTGGATGACTACAGTGAGGGAGAGTCAGGATGGGTGGATGACTACAGTGAGGGAGAGTCAGGATGGCGGATGACTACAGTGAGGGGAGTCAGGATGGGTGGATGACTGCACTACAGAGTCAAACACAGGTGTGACATGGGCTAGATAGAATACCTTTACACCCAAAGGGAGTTGGGTCACTCTTAATCTCGTGGCGTTTGGCTTTATGGTCAGGGCTAAGGGGGGATCCTGTCGGTCGAAGAAGAGAGACAGAAGAAGAAAGAAATGATAAAGGGAGCGATAGAAAAACAGAGGGAAGAACTTCCTGAAACTGACTAGAATAATTAGCTACCTACTAATCCTATTGGACACATGTAAATAATGAGGCTGGGGGATAGACCTGCTAAAACAGACTCATTCTAATGTTTTATCTATTAACCACAAACTATACTGTAGTATACCTGGTCGAGAGAATACCATTGGTAATGTTAGACTTTTACCAGCAGGGTGCAGAAATTCTGCAAAGGAAAGCATGCCAAAATATCAGTCTTCAAAAGCCCTGATGCAGTCGACTACTGGAAAGGATTTGCCCTGTCTAAAATCAATTTAGGTTTGGTTAAGAGAGCTTGGGGTTGACTTCGAAATGGACAACATATCTTTGCCATATATGATCGATGACAACATGGGGGATGCCTCCAGGACTCTAGTGTTACCTTTCTGACTCTTCAGATTGCTGAAGCCTTGAAGGGTAAAACGCTTTTTAGCCACTGATACCCTGTCAGTGGTGGGACTGGTGACTGTCCCCTCTATAACCATGGTAGAGAAAGAGGGACAGGAAGGAGAGAGAGTAAAGTGGTTTGAAGAGGACAAGAGAAAGAAAGCTCAGATTAAACTTAAAGGAGGAAGCAGGAAGCAGGAAGGAGGAAGCAGGAAAATATTCAAGGATGGCTTGGGTACCTAACCAGATGAGGGAGGTCACTAAAACTGCAACACAAGTTCGTTTTCTTGTCATGAGCTTTTGACAGCAGTAAAAAACGTTTTCTTTACTCAACAAAATAGGGCAACTCACCTTTGTGTTTTGGGGAGGAGGGGGAGTTGGGGTCAGAGTTGACAGCATCTGTCTTCTTCTCGTCTCCCTTCTTCACACTCTTCTGACAGTTTCTAAATGGACTAAGAGGGAGAAACAAAGAGGTTAAAAAGAGAAGAACAAAGCCATTTTTAGCCACTGTATACCCTCTTGATTCCTTATCTCTAACTGGCTCTAGCCATGGTTCTCTCTGTAAAATCTGACCTGAGGCAGACAGATGGGCTGTTGCTGGTTGGACTGGGAGACATTGTGTCTGATGCCTTCTTTTGACTGGATTCTGGAACAAATCATCACAGTTACTAACAGAACACTGACACAACAACAGAGAATTTAGCATCCAGATGTGTATCAACTCTGGAATGTGTGGCCGTGTTTCTGTAATGCCTCAGATCCACTATCGTACCCCTGCAGGCTTTCAGCTGGCCAGTCAGAACCTTCCTGATCTCCTTCAACCAAGATGTTTTGATCTCAGGTGTCGCAGCTTGGACGATAAACACCTCCTCTCTGGAATTACACCAGATCTCAAACTTCTTGTTGTCACCCTTGGCGCTCTCCGTGATGCCCACCGCACTCATCTGTTTGAGAGAACCGAAGGATATTACACTTCTGTCAATCACTGTTGAACTCATAACATACTATAGATCAAAGTAAAAATATAAGGAGAGCCAGACAGACAGACAGACAGACAGCTAGCCAGACAGCTAGCCAGACTGCCAGAAAGCCAGTCAGGACATTGAGGAAGTGTTTGAAGCTGTACGAGGGGGCTTTTTCGTAACCCTCCCCCAGACAGTGAGCCAGCCAGCCAGACACAAACAGACTCACGTTGAGGGAGTGTTTGAAGCTGTAGGACGGGGCTTTCTCGTAACCCTCCCCGTTCTCCTCCCGTCTCTTACAGAAGAGCAAGGCTTTTTCATGCAGGAACAGGTGTCTCTGCATGGGCTTGAAGCGGGCCAGGTCCTTGACCTTGGCGTGACCTTTCTTGTGTTCCGTCCACACGCTGAATGACCCCTGCATCAATAGCCTGCCCAGCTCCGTCAGGCTACCCTGGGGATCAATAAATTAACACAATCAATCAAAAGTAAGAAAGATAACTGAGCATTGTCTGTGGTACAGAAGATGTTACACTGTTGGGTAACTTTTTCCTCTCCACCCTAAAGCATGAGGAGGATAGCGGTATCGTGGTTAGCTGACCTCATATCCTGTGATGGCGATGAGGTGCATGGAGTCGTTGACGGCCTTCAGGATCCCCAGGATGGAGGACAGCGCCTCCTGTAGGTCCTCTGACCCCTCACAGCCCTTACTGTACTTCAGTAGCTCCTTCAGTATCAGCTGGTACTTGGTTATCCTCTGGACTGGCTTGAGGAGGTACGAGTCCAACCCCAGTTTGTGTTCCAACTTTCTCTGGCACTCCTTCGTAAAAACAAACAATCACACATCAATAAAAAAAAAGACCTTTTTACAAGCTTACTGTATACTGAGCTTGAGGACCCTGAAAGAAAGGTGAAAGGTCACCTGGAAGAAGGTGCAGTCGGAGCACTGTCTCCACAAGCTCTCAGAGCGAGGTTTGTTCTGACAGTACTTCTCATAGATCTGCAGGTCGCCCATTCTCTCCAGGAAGCAGCGTCCCACCAGCTCAGGGACGTCTGTGTAGGTCTCCAGCTCCCTGAGGAACGTCCTGATGAGAGACACAGACAGACAACGGGACACAGGTTAGTACTACTGAGGTTGGGAAGCAGTGGGGGGCTTGAGGTAATGTTAACCAAATGTAATATTGTTGAAATTGGTCCCTATAAATCGATATGGTTGAATTAATGTGCATCTTCGGTAACAACTGTTCACAATGACAGGACATTGTTAAGTAAACATTATGTAACATGAGTGTTGCAGTGGAGTGAAAGTCACCTCTTGTGGAACTGGTAGATCTCTGGCATGTTGCCAAACAGGACATCCTTTCTGTTGAGCAGCGCACTGGGGAGGAGATGGGCCATGGCTGGGTTGTCCATCTCTGCAGCATAACCCTGGAATAACACACATTAAAATGTTAACACAGGACAATCTGAAAATGCACATCTATGATAAGTACATTTTCAACAAAAACATATACAAAAAATAATAATTATATATATATATTTATTTTTTTACTACATTTAGGACAGTAGGTGAAGTAGTGGCGACCTCTAGTGGTCAGAAGTGACAATCACCTGCAGTACACAGAGTAGCTCCTCTACATATGCCCTCTCAGTCTCCAACAGCTCGTTCATTACATGTCTGTAGGAACAAAACAACAACATTATATTTAACACCAACATAGAATTATCATTTTGATGAACTATACCAAGTATGAAATATCTAACTCTCTTTCTAACCATCTCTTTCCAATTGTGTTTCTCAAGAGGATTCCTTTCATCGATATATTTTAAGGCATTAATTTCAGGCTATATTATGACGTCATTGACCTTTGACCCCTGACCCTACCGTCGGAGCACAGCCAGGTTCTCCTCCTCCTCAGACAGAGAGCCGTGTCTGCTGCCGCAGTTCTGCACCTGGACCTCCACTATTCTGCAGTTTTCTACGTTCAAGATGTTGTCCTCGGCATTCTTCTTCTCTTGACTCCTGTGAGCTACAAGAAATAGAAGGACGGAAAGACGGAATATGAACTACTCATCTGAACTTCAAACAACCAACAAAAGTCATTTCAATCAATCAATAATATATTTTTAGGGTATGAGGTATTGTTTAAGAAGGCACAATTGCAGTTCTTATATGCCACTAGATGGTAATGAATGGATCAGGAACGGGAGAGGCTATAGAGACACTGCTGACCTGCAAAACGACTAACCAAAATCTGACCCTTACCTTACCTTACCTTACCCAAACCCCTTAACCTAACCTAATTTTAACCTATTCTGAAATAAAATATTGGTTTGCAAGTTAGAAGTGTCTGTATGGCCTTTTCCATAAGAACCAGAGAGACAGGGAGGGACAGGCAGAGAAAGATGGTGACGACCAGTGTGACACGTGGAGCAGAGCGCAGTACTCACCAGGGGAGGACATGGGGGACTTGATGATGGCTTCAGGCCTGGGAGCCACTGGCTGGACGGGCCGTGTCTGTTTGGCTGCCAGCTTCTTCAGACTGACCCTCCTCTTCTCAAACATCTCTTGCATGGACACCTGCTTCTGGAACACTTTCTCTACCTGCTCCTGTTAACACACCCAGAGGGGAGGGAGGGTTAGACGCTGACGTTTTGAGGGTGTATCTCAATAGTCAAAAACGTCTTCCTCTCCTTGTCTCTATTCAATTGTTTGATTATACTTGGGGACAGGAGTTTTTCCTGACCACATGGAGAGGGGAGGAAAAACCTGGAAAAATATCTAGACCTCCTGGTCAGGTCTCGTGTTCAAAACAAGTGGCCCCACAAATTCAATGTTTTCTCATGTAATAAATATCTGGTGCCTCCAGCTGTCGCCACTTACCCTGAGCTCTGGGTTGAGGATGGAGTCGTAGTCCCTCCTGATGGCGTCGAGGTCGGTGATCTGGTGTTGGGCGGCCGTGTCCAGGTACTTCTCCAGCTCCTGCAACGCCACCTCCGCCCCGTCCTGAGACTGACACCTATCTACCGGCTGAGAGGCAAGGAGGTAGATCCCCTCCTCACACCACCTCGATGCCTGGGGAGGGAGGGGTACATTATACCACAGGCCAGAGGGAGAATTAATCCTTGACTGGCTGAAATCAAAACCTAGCTCTTATACCTTGACACTTGTCATACATCTGAAAGATTCCATCAGCTCTCACCTACTAGAGGGCTACATTGACCAATCACCATATTACTAATCCCCATCTAAACCAGGGTTTGTCAGTGTTTCCAGGACCATACTTTTCCCCTCCAGCCCTCACCTTCTCCAGACAGTGGTGCAGCTCCATGGCCCTGAGGAGGAGGACCTTCTTGGTCTTGAGGAAGGAGGTGACCTCATCACACACGGCCCTCAGCTCACTGCACTTAGGCAGGATGGAGTCCTCAGCGTAGTGAGCACTGTCTATCAGCCCATCTCCCTCAGCGGCCAGGGACAGGGCCCGGTCCAACACATCCTGGAGAGAGAGAGAGACACAGGCAGGTGAGAACACACACGATTATTACAGAGTAAAAAAAAGAAATATGAACAAAGCAGTCATAATGGAAAGCCATTACATCCATGTGACCTTCCTAGCTGCCTCTGCAATAAGGACCTATGCATAACAGCCAACTAAGCATTTTACACAACGTATACAGATTTCACTGTGGATGTTCTGGACCTTATTGCAGGGATTCTGGATTCAGTTCATGTCCATATATGTGATGTGAATGTAGAACGAGGGAGCAGGCTGTTTCTGTGGTGCAGAACCAGAACCAGCTATAACATCACTCTACCACCAGTACAGCCAGCTACAGCACCTCCCCCACACAACCCTCTCCTCCTCCTCCTACCCTCTTCCCTCCCTCCCTCCCTCCGCACTGTAGCTCTGCAACGGTCTGGACCATCGAGGGCGACAAGCTCTCTTTCTATACACACACACACACACGTGCACCAACCGACACACACACACACTCCCTCCCTCCATCTCTCCCTCCCTCGACATACACAATCTGTCTCACCCTCCCTCCTTATATAAATCCCCTTGAATGAAGGGGAGCAGCACAGGACATTACATCGCCTGTTATCACTGACAATAATATGATGTCCTTTCTCAAAGACAATAACAGCAGCACATCCAGCAGGTGTTGTATATGTTTAGATCCAGTCACATCCTAGGCAACATGCTATGTTTTCTAGTCACATAGGGACTACTACAGTGATGTATGTGTGAACCAACCAATAGAGGTATGGCCCGCTGCACGTGAGTCTCATCTGCAAAGTCAATACTGTCATTGAGATGAATGGGGTCTATAATGTACTGGAGTACAACTAGAGGGGAAACGGGATACGACCCTTGTCAGCTGGTGTAATCTTGTCATTCAAGCTATGGGGAGGATGATGTGTGCTATTGGGAAGAAGTGTGTGTGTGTGTGTGTGTGTGTGTGTGTCTTACGCAGGCTTTCTCCTCCTGGCTGTTGAGTTCTCGTAGGATGTGTTCTGCGTGGGCGGGACTGATGCCAACCTCAGAGAGCCGCGCTACCCGCTCTGATACCACATCCAGCTGGGCACGCACCTGAACACACACACAAACACAGAGGGACAGGTAGAGTCAGAAGACACACACACAGACAGACAGAGACACGCACACACTACAAATTGACAAACAGTGACTGGGACTACATCTCCCATGATGCTCGTGTCGCTGTTCCCCTCACCTCACGGAAGTAGTGTTCAAAATGGCGGAGCTGCAGACACTGTTCCAGCTTGGTCTGGTGTCTCTCCCAGAAATCATCAAACGCTGTCTCTGTCTCATCCAGCTGGCCCAGCAGTCTACACACGGATGGAGGAAGAACGATAGATGAATGAAGGCATGGAGAGAGACAGAGAGAGAGATGGATGGATGGATGGAGGGAGAGAGGGAGGGAGGGAGGGAGGGAAAAATGGAAAGGGAATGAAAGATAGAGGAGAACCTGAGTCAAAGAAAAATGCTAATAATCGTATTTCAGCTTGGATCTCAAAGTATCACTCAGTGAAACCAGTGGAGATCAGAAGTAGCTATTCATTGAAATCTAACCAAGTTCAGTCCTGTGTTTAATCAAATCCCTTACATAACCAACTCCTCCACTTTACAGCATCACCAACTCCTCCACTTTACAGTATAACCAACTCCTCCACTTTACAGCATAACCACCTCCTCCACTTTACAGCATAACCAACTCCTCCACTTTACAGCATAACCACCTCCTCCACTTTACAGCATAACCACCTCCTCCACTTTACAGTATAACCACCTCCTCCACATTACAGCATAACCAACTCCTCCACTTTACAGCATAACCAACTCCTCCACTTTACAGTATAACCAACTCCTCCACTTTACAGTATAACCAACTCCTCCACTTTACAGTATAACCAACTCCTCCACTTTACAGTATAACCAACTCCTCCACTTTACAGCATAACAAACTCCTCCACTTTACAGCATAACCAACTCCTCCACTTTACAGTATAACCAACTTCATGTTTTGGGATATGAAACACTCTGCAGTTTCCTTTCCTTTGGGCTTGTTCTCCCAATTCTGCTCTGCAGCTGTGAGTGCTGCCACTATGCATCCTGTCCCCGTCACCGTATTCCCAAAATACACCACGGGGGCAGATTTCACTGCAGCACGGCGCGGCAGAACACTGCCTAGAAGGATCAGGGTCATGGTGGGAGATTTCTAGAGTAGAGTTCTAGGTAACTTCTATCAATACACACCACCATTGTTACTAGACAACATGAATCTTGACTGTTCTATAACCAGTTGGACCTCAGGATATCTGTCATGTATCTGTGTCTTCTTTCCTGTCTCTGTGGCTCCTACTGTACCCTGTCCCTTTCTCAACCTATTTCGTTAGCATTAAAGGGACAGTTCAAACTAAAATTGATATGGCGCCAAACTTTCACATTCATTTAGGATTGAGGCATACATACAGATTTAGTATGATCTAAACATTTACATTTTAGTCATTTAGCAGACGCTCTTATCCAGAGCGACTTACAGTTAGTGAGTGCATACATTTTTAAAATTAATTTTTTAAACAACAACAACTTTAGACCACTTCTGAGGTATGAGAGTACCTCTAAGCCTGACCCTTGACCCCTGTCCCCTCTGACCTCTGCACGGTGGCCAGGTTCTCCAGCTCGTCCTGGTTCATTGTATAGTCGGTTTCTCTCTGCAGGGGCTCGTTGATGCTCTCCAGGAGTCGGCCCCCCTGGCCCAGGGCCACACACAGGTCCTCCTGGGAGAGAGACATGGATACATCACAGTTAGAGGGATCTACCATTGGACAGTACAGAGTATACGGTCTCAGCTACAGCCAAAGTCTGTTCTTCAGTATATCTTTCCCCTGAGAAACACTACCATTAGCAAAGGAATGTTTAATCGTGCCTTGAATTTCAAATGAATTGACCTCAACACTTCCACTTAAAACATGGAGTTGTTGGTATAGTCTGTATATTAATGACTTGGTCTCTCCATGCCCTTACCTTCATCTGTCCCTTCTTCTCGGTGTGTGTGGCCAGCAGGTTGGAGGTGGCCTGGGCGTCGTTGGGTAGCTCGGTCTCAGCTAGCTCCGTCCCAAACGACTGCAGGGTCTGAGCCGTGGTCTTCACCATCAGAGCAAAGGCCTCGATAGCCTGAGGACCGGACAAACACAACCCACCTGTGTCATCACAGGTTATAAACACACACATCCTATTGAGTGAGATGGGGCAGACTAACGGAAAGAGTTCAGGTCAGTGTGCAGATATCAAGTTAGGATTGGGCACTATGTAGTTAGTCAGGGGTCTTGTGGGAAGGGTATGGTAGTAGGGTACTCACGGTGCGGTGTGAGATCCAGGTATCATGGCAGTAATCCTGGGTTCCTCCCAGCTCCTGGGGCAGCTGAGTCCGGTCGATGTAGGCATGGAGCTCCGTCACAGAGCTCAGCATCACCACCTGAGACACAGGGAGGAGAGTCAACACACAGTACACACGTTAGCCTACATATGAGACGCATACAAACGTCCACTAACATCCTTACATCAGACAAGCACATGCATATAAAAAACATACCGGCACCTTCATCTTGAACTCATCCCTGTTGAACTTGAAGAAGATGTCGGAGAGCGTCCGCTGGAATAAGGTGGAGGGCCGCAAGACCAGAACCAGCTGTAAATTCCCTGGGAATGAGCCCTGTGGAACACACACATTAAATACTTTGTTTTTGTTGGTGGATAACCTGTCAGAAGTCTTATGGATTTCATTGATACAAATTAAATGAACACACTTACACATGCCTTTCAGGAAAGAGTGGTAAATCAGTGTAGTGATTTGTCTTGATTAGCAACTCCAGTGTATATTTGGCCTTGTGTTTTAGGTTATTGTCCTGCTGAAATTTGAATTTGTCTCCCAGTGTCTGATGGAAAGCAGACTGAACCAGGCTTTCCTCTAGGATTTTGCCTGTGCTTAGCGCTGTTCCCTTTCTTTTTATCCTAAAAAACTCCCTAGTCCTTGCCGATGACAAGCATACAAATAACATGATGCAGCCACCACCATAATTGAAAATATGGAGAGTGGTACTCAGTGATGTGTTGGATTTCCCCCAAACATAACGCTTTGTATTCAGGACATAAAGTTAATTTCTTTGCCACATTTTTTGCAGTTTTACTTTAGTGCCTTATTGCAAACAGGATGCATGTTTTGGAATATGTTTTATTCTGTACAGGCTTCCTTCTTTCACTCTGTCAATTAGGTTAGTATTGTGGAGTAACTAAAATGTTGTTGATCCGTCCTCAGTTTTCTCCTATCACAGCCATTAAACTGTTTTAAAGTCACCATTGGACTCATGGTGAAATGAGTGGTTCCTTCCTCTCCAGCAACTGAGTTAGGAAGGACACCTGTATCTTTGTAGTGACTGGGTGTATTGATACACCATCCAAAGTGTAATTAATAACTTCACCATGCTCAAAGGGATATTCAATGTCTGCTTTCTTATTTTTACCCATCTACCAATAGGTGGCCTTCTTTGAAAGGCATTGGAAAACCATTTTAAATTCAGGCTGTAACACAACAAAATGTGGAAAAAGTCAAGAAGTGTGAATACTTTCGGAAGGCACTGTAAGCCCGATTGTTAGTAGCTTGTTGTAACAGGAGTTGTGAATTACTCTGCTCTACAGGGGGGTCTTTAATCGATACTACAAGACTAGCTACAGTAGGACAATCTTCCTCAGCCTAGGGTACACAACAACAACAACACAACCCACTGTAGAACCAACATACCCACAGAGTGATGTAGCATCACCACACTCCACTGCTGCAGCCTACAGCTGACATAAATAGTAGGCTGAGTGAGCTTCAACCAACATCACTGGTGGTGCAGCCAAAAATATCTAGTGCATGTTATAAAAGAGGTGCATCTCTCTCGTTTTAGAATAGGTACTTTTATTGAATGCTTTGGGTTGAAAATACAGAGAAGAGATTTCGCCAGAAAACCCTGAAACCACACAGCAACTGACATAGCCTGAATATAGCCTATTGTCTGAGTCAGAGCCATATACAGCACATGTACTGTACATACAGTTATATACACACTCCCCTACGTATTTATTTGGGCAGTGAAGCTAAAAATGCATTTGCAGTTTATTTTGGTTGTGTTTATAGGCATAAAATCATATCCCCCCCCAAAATGCTAACCTTCCCTGTTATTGGTAATGGTGAGAGGTAAGCATGTTTTGGGGGCATGATCTCATTAATGTAGAAGTGTTCAGAAACATATTCTATTCTTATTTACAGTAAAAGTGACAATATATTATTTACCATTAATTTCTATTGGGCACAACATAATCTGAAACACAACCAAAACAAACTGCAAATGCATCCAACAAGTTTATTGAGCCACAAGCTTGATGTAGTCATTGCGTGCTAGGAATATGGGACCAAATACAACATTTTTGACTCAATCCAAATACTTATGACACCTTCAAATTGTGGGACTTCGATACATAGTGCTTTAGGCTGTAACACAACAAAATGTTGAATAAGTCAAGGGGTATAAATACTTTCTGAAGGCACTGTATGAAAATACCCTCAAATAAAAGGTGACATTGTGTACAGTCGCCTCATATCAAACATTTGATCTCAAATCCAAAAGGCTGGACTAGAGAGACAAATTAAACGTTTTAGCTTTACTGTTCAAGTAAATACATAGAGGAGTGTAGGTTTGTAACCACAGTACAATTTTTCTGCAAATCACAATTCCAATTTGCAGCATAAGGTTCTATTTCAGCAGTATGATGCCATCTCATATTGCCAAACGGCTGTTCCCAGAGAATAGCCCACTACATCCACACACAGCTTCTTACCAACCCTGCATGACCACGTTGTCATGGAAACTGCCATCCTTGGGAGAAAGAGATGAGATTACACACACTGACGGTTTCCATGTCTGTCACACAGCCAGTCTATTTTTATATTAATTAAATGCATCTAGTAAATGAAGGACTGCTCACAGAATGTGTCAATGACCAGGTTTCGAACCTGGATCTCAAGACCGCTTTAGCCCACTGAGCTAAAGACCTAGGCATTCGCTCGGGGAGCTAACACGTGTCTTCAGGTGTCAGGCAAGGTCACTCAAATCTGAGTGTATTACTGAACTACCACTGCTACATCAATGAAGAGATCCTGATAGAGATCCCTCATCTTCATTACACATCTCTCTCTCTCTCCCCCGCTCTAGTGTGCTTTACCCATCCAATTCATTATTTATCTCCTAATCAATAATCCAGCGCATGGTCACACTGTTCTATCCTGCATGTTGGGCTCCCGAGTGGTGCAGCGGTCTAAGGCACTGCATCTCAGTGCTTGAGGCGTCACTACAGACCCCCTGGTTTGATTCCAGGCTGTATCACAACCGGCGGTGATTGGGAGTCCCATAGGGAAGCGCACAATTGGCCCAGCCTCGTCCGGGTTTGGCCGGTGTAGGCCGTCATTGTAAATAAGAATTTGTTCTTAACTTACTTGCCTAGTTAAATAAAGGTTAAATAAAAATGTGACGTGACACTAACAAACTACTTGATAGAGTGGGACTGGGTCTGTTTGGGACTGGGTCTGTTTGGGACTAGGTCTGTTTGGGACTGGGTCTGTTTGGGACTGGGTCTGTATGGGACTGGGTCTATTTAGGACTGGGTCTGTTTGGGACTGGGTCTATTTAGGACTGGATCTGTATGGGACTGGGTCTATTTAGGACTGGATCTGTATGGGACTGGGTCTATTTAGGACTGGGTCTGTTTAGGACTGGATCTGTATGGGACTGGGTCTATTTAGGACTGGATCTGTATGGGACTGGGTCTGTTTGGGACTGGGTCTGTTTGGGACTGGGTCTGTTTGGGACTGGGTCTGTTTGGGACTGGGTCTATTTGGGACTGGAGCAAGCCTGCTGTGATTAGATCTTGATTGTTATTAGGCTCCTCCTCTCTGTAGATCTTTGGATTTGAACCCTATTTGCACAGTATAACGGCCCCTGTCTGTCACAGTAACCCATCAATATGTTTGGAGAGCTTGGAGTTTGCTGACACTAAAATCATAAAAGCACTTTAACAGCGGGCGGGCGGACATTAAAAACCATTTAATGACAACATGGAAGGAGGTTCTTAACCTTCAACTGTGATTTCCATAACAATACCATTCCATTTAGTCTGACTCTGGTATATCCAATGAAAGCTCATGTTAACCCCAGCTACACAGCATATCATATATCAAGTAATAATGGAACACATATTAGAATAACGATTTTCACTGGGGTCTCAGTCGGGGGGGGGGACTCACCCCATCCACCGCTGATGTGTAGCAGCACCCACTTGGGTGATAGGTGGCGGCCATGTTGCAACAGAACACTCAAACCACACATCGGCTAGCTAATACGGTGGAACGACTTTTTGGGTAATTTTTTCTGAACACGTTTTTCGATCTACAACGTCATTCTGTAGGGAGTACCATATAGACAGAACATTGATCAGGATAACCTTGACAAATGTCAGCTACAGAGGAAGATACATGATTCACTAGACATGCCAAACACACACACACACACACACAGCCCCTCTACCTCCCCCCTGCCTCCCCCCACCTCCTCCTCTCCATAGCCCAGCCCCTCTACCTTCCCCCCCTGCCTCCCTCCTCTCCATAGCCTAGCCCCTCTACCTCCACCCTGCCTCCCCCCTCCCTCCTCTCCATAGCCCAGCCCCTCTACCTCCCCCCTGCCTCCCCCCTCCTCCTCTCCATAGCCCAGCCCCTCTCCCTCCCCCACCTCCTCCTCCTCTCCATAGCCCAGCCCCTCTACCCTCCCCCCTCCTCCTCCTCCCCCAGAGCCCAGCCCCTCTAACCACTCCCCCCTCCTCCTCTCCATAGCCCAGCCCCTCTACCTCTCCCCCTGCCTCCCCTCCTCCTCCTCCTCCTCCCCAGAGCCCAGCCCCTCTACCTCCCCCCCCAGACCCGCCCCTCTACACCTCCCCCCTGCCTCCCCCACCTCCTCCTCTCCATAGCCCAGCCCCTCTACCTCCCCCCTGCCTCCCCCACCTCCTCCTCTCCATAGCCCAGCCCCTCTACCCCCCCCCGCCTCCCTCCTCCTCCTCTCCATAGCCCAGCCCCTCTACCTCCCCCCTGCCTCCCTCCTCCTCCTCCTCTCCATAGCCCAGCCCCTCTACCTCTCCCCTCCTCCCCACACCTCCTCCTCTCCATAGCCCACCCCCTCTACTTCCCCCCTGCCTCCCCCACCCCCACCTCCTCCTCCCCGAGCCCCCTCTACCCTCCCCCTTCCTCCCCTCCCCCTCCTCCTCCTCCTCTACATAGCCCAGCCCCTCTACCCCTCCCCCTGCCTCCCTCCTCGCCTCCCTCCTCTCCCATAGCCCAGCCCCTCTACCTCCCCCTCCTCCTCCTCTCCATAGCCCAGCCCCTCTACCTCCCCCCTCCTCCCTCCTCTCTCCTCCTCCCCCCCTCCTCCTCTCCATAGCCCAGCTCCTCTACCTCCTCCCCTGCCTCCCCCCTGCCCTCCCCCTCTCCATAGCCCAGCCCCTCTACCTCTCCCCTGCCTCCCCCCACCTCCTCCTCTCCATAGCCCAGCCCCTCTACCTCCCTCCCCCCCCTCCCTCCCTGCCGCCCCCCCCCTCCCGCCTCCCTCTCCATAGCCCAGCCCCTCTAACCCCTCCCCCCTGCCTCCCTCCCTCCTCCTCATAGCCCAGCCCCTCTACCTCTCCCATGCTCCACCTCCTCCTCTCCATAGCCCTACCCAGCCCCCTCCTCCCTCCTCCTCCTCTCCATAGCCCAGCCCCTCTACCTCTCCCATGCCTCCCCACCTCCTCCCCTCAATAGCCCAGCCCCTCTACCTCCCCCCCTGCCTCCCTCCTCCTCCTCCTCTCCATAGCCCAGCCCCTCTAACCTCCTCCCATGCCTCCCCCACCTCCTCCCCATAGCCCAGCCCCTCTACCTGCCTCCCTCCCCCTCCTCCTCTCCATAGCCCAACCCCTCTACCTCCCCCCTGCCTCCTCCTCCTCCTCCTCTCCAAGCCCAGCCCCTCATACCTCCCCCTGCATCCCCCCACCTCCTCCTCCCCATAGCCCACCCCTCTACCTCCCCCCTGCCTCCCTCCTCCTCCTCTCCACAGCCCAGCCCCTCTACCTCCCCCTGCATCCCCCCACCTCCTCCTCCCTAGCCCAGCCCCTCTACCCTCCCCCTGCCTCTCTCCCTCCTCCTCCTCTCCACAGCCCCCCTCTACCTCCCCCATGCCTCCCTCCTCCTCCCTCCATAGCCCAGCCCCTCTACCTCCCCCAATGCCTCCCCCTCCTCCTCTCCATAGCCCAGCCCCTCTAACCCCCCCCTGCACCCCCCCCTCCTCCTCCCCATAGCCCAGCCCCTCTACCTCCCCCCTGCCTCCCCCACATCCTCCTCTCCATAGCCCAGCCCCTCTAACTCCCCCCTGCCTCCCTCCTTCCTCTCCATAGCCCAGCCCCTCTTATCCATCCCCCTGCCTCCCTCTCTCTCTTCCATAGTCCCAGCCCCTACCCCCCTCCTCCTCTCCATAGCCCAGCCCCTCTACCTCCCCCCTGCCTCCCTCAAAATCACACACTGCATGCTTGAGTGTGTGAGTGTGTGTGTTTGCCCTTGGGGACACCACACTGATACTCTACTCTACTAATCAGCAGGTTTCCACAGCCTCTTTACACACTACTATCACTGTAGGGAAATCAATGAACACACACACACTTAACAGAGGCTTACAGAGGACAACTGTCCCACCTCAGCTATGTTAACAGCTAAACACCAGCCTCCTCCCCTCCCCTGTCACATGGACAGACCCAATGGGCTGGAACGGGCCATTATGGCTGAAACAGCCCATTATTATTGGGGGGCTGACAGGCCCATATAAGGAGAGTGATGGAGACATTATGGTTTGCTGATGGGAGATGGGTGAGCAAAAGGTTAACATTTGTCAGTGTTATATTTATATAAATATAAAAGTAATATTTATGTTTTGTTTGGCTGTTTCATAACTCTGCATGTATTGCCAACATTATGAAGAACACATAGATGTGAAGCATGTATCAAGTTATTAACGTGATGCCTGACTGACTTTCCTGGAACTCATTGTCGGTGTTTCATGTTCATCAGGGTCCAATTAGCACACATTAACATATACAGTGGGGAAAAGTATTTAGTCAGCCACCAATTGTGCAAGTTCTCCCACTTAAAAAGATGTAAGAGGCCTGTAATTTTCATCATAGGTACACGTCAACTATGACAGACAAAATGAGGGAAAAAAATCCAGAAAATCACATTGTAGGATTTTTAATGAATTTATTTGCAAATTATGGTGGAAAATAAGTATTTGGTCAATAACAAAAGTTTCTCAAGACTTTGTTATATACCCTTTGTTGGCAATGACACAGGTCAAACGTTTTCTGTAAGTCTTCACAAGGTTTTCACACACTGTTGCTGGTATTTTGGCCCATTCCTCCATGCAGATCTCCTCTAGAGCAGTGATGTTTTGGGGCTGTCGCTGGGCAACACGGACTTTCAACTCCCTCCAAAGATTTTCTATGGGGTTGAGATCTGGAGACTGGCTAGGCCACTCCAGGACCTTGAAATGCTTCTTATGAAGCCACTCCTTTGTTGCCCGGGTGGTGTGTTTGGGATCATTGTCATGCTGAAAGACCCAGCCACGTTTCATCTTCAATGCCCTTGCTGATGGAAGGAGGTTTTCACTCAAAATCTCATGATACATGGCCCCATTCATTCTTTCCTTTACACGGATCAGTCGTCCTGGTCCCTTTGCAGAAAAACAGCCCCAAAGCATGATGTTTCCACCCCCATGCTTCACAGTAGGTATGGTGTTCTTTGGATGCAACTCAGCATTCTTTGTCCTCCAAACACGACGAGTTGAGTTTTTACCAAAAAGTTCTATTTTGGTTTCATCTGACCATATGACATTCTCCCAATCCTCTTCTGGATCTTCCAAATGCACTCTTCAGACGGGCCTGGACATGTACTGGCTTAAGCAGGGGGACACGTCTGGCACTGCAGGATTTGAGTCCCAGGCGGCGTAGTGTGTTACTGATGGTAGGCTTTGTTACTTTGGTCCCAGCTCTCTGCAGGTCATTCACTAGGTCCCCCCGTGTGGTTCTGGCATTTTTGCTCACCGTTCTTGTGATCATTTTGACCCCACGGGGTGAGATCTTGCGTGGAGCCCCAGATCGAGGGAGATTATCAGTGGTCTTGTATGTCTTCCATTTCCTAATAATTGCTCCCACAGTTGATTTCTTCAAACCAAGCTGCTTACCTATTGCAGATTCAGTCTTCCCAGCCTGGTGCAGGTCTACAATTTTGTTTCTGGTGTCCTCTGACAGCTCTTTGGTCTTGGCCATAGTGGAGTTTGGAGTGTGACTGTTTGAGGTTGTGGACAGGTGTCTTTTATACTGATAACAAGTTCAAACAGGTGCCATTAATACAGGTAACGAGTGGAGGACAGAGGAGCCTCTAAAAGAAGAAGTTACAGGTCTGTGAGAGCCAGAAATCTTGCTTGTTTGTAGGTGACCAAATACTTATTTTCCACCATAATTTGCAAATAAATTCATAAAAAATCCTACAATGTAATTTTCTGGGGAAAAAAATCTCAATTTTTCTCCCTTCCCTCCTCAATCACCCTATCCCCTCCCTACTCAATCCCCCTATCCCCTCCCTACTCAATCTCCCTATCCCCTCCCTACTCAATCTCCCTATCCCCTCCCTACTCAATCTCCCTATCCCTTCCCTACTCAATACCCCTTCCCTACTCAATCCCCCTATCCCCTCCCTACTCAATCCCCCCTCCCTACTCAATCCCCCTATCCCCTCCCTACTCAATCCCCCTTTCACTCCTCAATCACCCTATCCCCTCCCTACTCAATCCCCCTATCCCTTCCCTCCTCAATCACCCTATCCCCTCCAGCTACAGCCACAGCTGTTGAGCTGTCACAACCTGTAACACATGCAGTGAGAGAGACAGACAGAGGAGACAGACAGAGTGTGAGTGTGAGAGGTAGCGAGAGAGAGAGAGAGAGAGAGAACAAAATAGCATTTTGTGAGAAAATCATGATGAAAGTGGCCATTTTAGGCCCTTTTTAGACCTATAAAACCGTACATAATACAGACAACATCTTGGTGCAATTATACTCCTTACAGTGTGCTCTAAAATACGGAGTATGAAAACGCGATCGAGTGAGCCATCCTATCCTATCCTATCACTCCTGCAGGTTGAAGTGAGCGTGATGTTGTATAATCTGAAAGGAGGTGATGATGCTACAGTACCCTCCTGCAGAACTAGGCTAGTAGTTACAGTTTTACCAGACAGTAAGACACCTCACAGAGAAGTCTGCACTGTGCCACTACTCCGATATACAAACGTTTCCTCTCCATCAGCACATCTCTAACACCTCACAACCCCACTTGTCATTAAGGTGTATGACCTACAGATTACACACATACCCTCAGCATACAGTGTTAATGAGGCGCGCGCGCACACACACACACACACACACACACACACACGTGGGTTACTCACTGCAATGCGTAGCAGGGTCCCCTTGACGGCGGTCCATCTGTCCTGACGGCGGTCGATGACCAGGATGAAGCCCACTCCAGACGCTGTCACACTGCAGGAGAGCGAGACACGGTCACCACAGCAACATGGATGTGTGTGTATGTTACCACGGTTACATGGATGTGTGTGTATGTGTGTATCCTCTTAATGACAGGACCCTTGACTTGACCAAGATCACAGGCTACCCACAGGCAGTGGCATTAGAAGAGCCCGCTCAATCCCTGTGTGTGTGTGTGTGTGTGTGTGTGTGTGTGTGTGTGTGTGTGTAGATTGTGTCCAAAAATACCAGGAGAGTGTCGCTGGCAGCACACGTTTACATCTCAGTCAATTAGCAGATGCTCTTAAGAAGAGCGACAACCGCACACACAAACAGAAATGTGAAAGAGTCAATACTGCTGAGGTGGTCCATGTACATCAACACAGCCAGGAGAAAAGCCATCATCCATTCATCACCCTGCTGTGCGCGCACGCACGCACACACACACACACACACACACACGGTAGAAAACACACTACCAAAATTCTGCCGCTTCCTCAGGTTAATCCCATTGATGTCACACGACAGGATATGTCTGTTATTCCCAAATGTTATTCCCAAAACCTCCTCAATAGAATGTAATCTCCTTCTCCCATTCCTTTTCTCTGGTATTCCGGTTTTCCCTCTCTGCAGATCCCGTTTGCCAAGCACCAACGTTCTGTTTACAGCTCTGATAGAACGGGAGCCAACCGCCAAGCCCCGCCCCCCCAAGAACAACTCTCCTCTGCGTACCCGCTTCTCTACACCAGCCAATCAACTCAGCCCTGCATCTCCTGCTGCTCCCCCACAGCCTATCAAAGAGGAGCATACGGGTGATGGACAGCGGTGGCTGGTGTGTGTATGAATGGCTCATGAGCAGAGGGGGGCGGGACATCTGATGGAGAATGAGATGAGATCCACCCCCCTTTAGCTGGTAGGAGAGGGAACCGCAAAATGCTCATAAATTAAATTGCCGCCATGACAGTGGTGTGCACACACACACACACAGCTTTCTTCTCGTTTAGCTAAAGAGCTTCCCCTCCCCTCTTCTTCCCCCCTCCCCCTCCTTTCCTCCCTCTCTCCCTCTCTCCTCAGCAGCATGTGTGTTGGCAGTGAGGAGAGCACACTGAGGTAAAGGACAAGGAGGGAGCCATAGGAGAGAGATAGAAAGAGAGAGATTTATTGAAATAAAAGGTAGAGAGACGAACAAAGAGAGAGAGCAAGAGGAGAGGAGGAAGTGAGAGAAAGAGGAGAGAGCATGCATCTTGTAAGATAAAACAGACGGTGATATGACTTTATCCAGTAGTACTAATCAGGACCTTCCATAGGCCTGAACTGGCAGCATGATGGATGTTCCTCTATAGGACCCAGTGTTAAATACAACACTCTGATTCAGAGATACACTCATAGTATTAAACATCCAGGACCCCCGTCTCTATACCCCCTCTTTCTCTTCTATATCTCCTCTTCCAGCTCCCTCTTTCTACCCCCTTATAGTCACTCACGCTTTCTCTCTGACAAGCGAGAGAGAGAGAGAGCGAGAGAGAGAGAAAGAAAGAGAGCGAGAGAGAGAGAGAGAGCGAGAGAGAGCGAGAGAAAGAAAGAGAGCGAGAGAAAGCAAGAGAGAAAGGGAGAGGCACAGAGAAAGAGAAGGAAAGCGAGGGAATAAAAGAAAGAAAGCTAGAGTGCAACAGAGAAAGAAAGCATCCCCCACTCTCTCTCTTTCTCTCTCTCTAGCATCAGAGGAACATGGGGGAGTTGTCTGCCTTCTGAACAACCCCTGGTCTTAGTAACAGCTCAGTCACACACCACAACTGAATAACTGAATATGCATCTCAGGTAGAACCTCATTCATGAATTTGATACAGATGGGTTCCCTCCGGCTGTAGCAAATGGATACCATATGTTACTATATTACTTATAAATATTGGTTTTCTTTCTTGTTTTGTCAATTCAAATTAAATATGTCCGAAATTACATCTTTACATCTTTGCCAGAACTCCTGTCTATGACAAGCTGCTTCCATATAGTAGCTGAGCCCTGGAGTCTTTTAACCAATGGACCCCAGAGGACATTAGATATACAGGAGTCTCTTTCATTAACACCTCCATCTCCTGTCCTCTACACCAGTCATGCTCCGTCTCTCCCAGCCCCCCTGGCCAACTCCCACAGGACCCAGGGGTCAGGGGTTAAAGCTTTCACCAGTAGCTAATGGGGAGGGGAGGATACGGATCATTGTATTACTTTTTATATTTATTCAACATTTGTTAATATCTGGAATTCCTATTGAGATAGATAATATCATGGGATATCTGGCCAAGAAGGTTGTTCCTGTGTATAAACAGGACTGGCATAACCTCCAGGACATACAACACATGTACCAGCTGCAGCAACTTTGAGGTGTAATATAGATGCCAACTATAATGGTTAAGATACAGTCCTGCATAAGACAAGTTCACTTTGTTGTATGGATGGAGATTCATTGTTCTGTTCAAACAAAGGAACTGTGAAAATAGTTCTACACTGACATCTGCTGGCAGGCTATGGTACCACACACCACTTCCTCAACTTTACAAAGAAATGACAAGTTCAAGCATATGAGTGTGCATTGCATTGTGTGTGTCACCTGGGCACACTGGTCAGGTAGGTCAGCACGTTGTGGAACTCCTCCTCCTGGAGCTCGCCGAACGCAGGGAAGTCTGGGAACACGATGATAGGACTGCCGTTCTCCCCTCGGCCCCCTGGGGAAAAAATGGGGACGTTTGATTATTGGCCATAATTCTGCTCTCAATTAGACAGCGACGTACCACCCCCCAGACCCCCTTTTCAGACCCCCACAGAATAGACATAGTGACAAGATGGATAGCTTTGGAATCATTTTATTTCATATACATCATATTGATAATGTCCATTATTCTTCTGTTAGATATAGCTAACCCACCCACCCCAGTGAGATGAACACCCAGAGCAGTGGTTCTCAAGCCTCTCCTCGAGGACCCCCAGCCGTCCATGTATTTCAACTATTCCACAGCTAGCACACCGGATTCAACTTGTCAACTAATCATCAAGCCCTTGACTAGTTGAATCAGGTGAACTAGTTCAGAGCTACAACCAAATTGTGAAACGTCTGGGGGTCCCCGAGGAGAGGTTTGAGAACCACTGACCCAGAGGATTCATGTGACTGTCTGAGTGGGGGAGGGGCAGATTAAAGGATGAGACAGGATCCATCTTCTCTCAACAAAGCCTGGTGTTACTGGGGCTCTGCAGGCTGATATTAGAATGTTTTCTATTTTGATTTGATCATTTTTCTTCCTTTTTAACTCTGCGTTGTTGGGAAAGGGCTCGTAAGTAAGCATTTCACGGTAAAGTCTACACCTGTTGTATTCGGCGCATGTGACAAATCAATTTTGATTTGATTTAGTGCTGCAGGAGAGCACAGGGAACGAGAAATGTACAGGTGTGAGTAGAGACAATGAGACAGACAGTTTGTGTGTGTGAATCTCTCTCTGCACCAGCCGGGCCAGTCCAGCAGAACCATAGCACTGTGCCCTGCTCCATCTGGTGCCATGTGTGTATGTGTGCCATACAGGCCCCTGACTGAGCGGGGGACTAGAGGAGGACCAGAGAGGTTAATGACTACAACACAAAACTAGGCCTGGAGGCACATACAACCTCCACACAGAGGAGAGAACACACAGGGAGAACAGGGAAGGAACAGTTAAACATTCCCTGTACTGCAGCAGGAGTCTTTAGTGACCCAGCTAAAACAGTATTGCTGCGTCACACTCTCACACGCTGGGCTTGGAGTCATTCTAGTGGTGTACTTAGGCTGTAGCGTAGAAGTCTGAATTAGAAATAGACCAAGGGTCATCTTCATCAGACTTAGCTGTGTGGTCATATGACTCCTCAGAGGGTGGATAGCGGTCATGAACACAAAAACACACACACATACGCACATCACCCCTGGCAACCACAGAGTTATTAAACACACTGACCGAGAGATGTAAAGACAAATAGACTCTGTACACAGACTGTACACAACCAAAGAACAGGCTCCAGGCAAGACATGTAACAGCAACCAGAAAAGATAGACAGTTAGGAGCTGAAGCTTGTGAAATTCAGTTAGAGAGACACACACTCTCTCGCTCTCAATGGGTGGAGTGTTAAATTCAGTCACACACTCAGCAGCCAATCACAGCAGCACATAGTGCCACACACACTTGGCTCTTCCAACCGTTGCCGGGCCAGGTTGCCAAGTGGATCGCCGTGGCGATTAATTATTCACGGGCCGTCTCTGTGCCGTTATTATCCGTGGTAACCCGACGTGGGGCCCTATCTGGGTTGGCATCGCAGTAGTAACGGAACAAACAGAGTCGGCACAACTCTTTATAAATATGGGTCTGGTGTAGAACAGTTTTCTCCCAAAGGTCGGGACGGGACCCACTGTCGGGTCCTTGCAAAAGTCTTAGTTTAGTTAAGTCATACAACAGAAATCAGTTTGCAAAACACTGCTGTACCCTATCTGGCAGCCAGAGTTCTATTCCTGCACTTTTATAAATAGAAAAATGCTGACAGATGATGTTTTGATGTTTAGGCCAGCTACTTCACTCATACAGTGTTATATGATTCATGCTCCATCAGTGTTATTAGCTTCTGCCATATTGCTTAAACTTTTTCCATCTGTGAAGGGAGATCTTCAAGGGCCTTGGCATAGCGTCTTGGGATTGGGTCACTTAGATGTTTGGGATTGTACCACTATTAGAGGCAAATATGAAGGAGGAAGCAATGGAGGGAAAAGAATGAGACCGACCTGAGAGGAAGGCAAACTGTTTCCTGAGGTCAGGATCGATGTCTGCAGCGAACAGACGATCACTCTCCTGCTGCATGATGTCATCTGGAAGATAGGAGAGACAAAACAAATCAGTTACAGTTACATACAGTATTTACAATAATAGATGACAGTTACAGTAATATACTGTATTTACAATAATAGAGCATAGTATTAGTCACACAGTGCACCTGGGATGACATGACAGAGAGAGGAGCAGAGGACTCTGCAGAGGACCCACTGACCCACTTCTCAAGGAGATATCCCCCCAAATTCCCCTTTTCTCCAACTTTCAGTCCCATTCTCAGTGAGAAAGAGAGAGGGGAGAGGCTGAGGGGAGGGGGAGAGAGGGTAGAGGCTGAGGGGGAAAGGGGGGAGAGGTTGAGGGTAGTGGGAGAGAGTGAGGGGAGGGGGAAGAGGGGGAGGGGGCAGTAAACAATATTTATTTCCTCCCCATGAACAGTGTGGATTATAATAATCTTTTTTGGACTCCAGAACCCTATGTGTCTGTGTGTGTGTGTGTGAGAGTGAGAGAGAGAGGGGGAGAGAGGGCGAAAGACTAGAGGAAAGAGGGGGTTGTTGGGTGGGTATGGTAGTGGTCTTGGGAGTTGGCAATGCCGTGTGTGTGAGTGTGTGTCATACTGTGCGTTGGCTGGCAGTAAGGGAGTGTATTGGTGAGATGTGAGGGTGGTTGCAGGGGATAGTGTATGGTGCTGTTGGCATCATGTGTTGACAGAGGATAGTGTATGGTGCTGTTGGCATCATGTGTGTTGACAGGTGGTACTGTATGGTGCTGTTGGCATCATGTGTGTTGACAGGTGGTACTGTATGGTGCTGTTGGCATCATGTGTGTTGAAAGGGGTACTGTATGGCGCTGTTAGCATCATGTGCTGACAGGGTGTAGTGTATGGTGCTGTTGGCATCATGTGTGGACAGGGGATACTGTATGGTGCTGTTGGCATCATGTGTGTTGAAAGGGGGTACTGTATGGTGCTGTTGGCATCATGTGTGTTGACAGGGGGTAGTGTATGGTACTGCTGGCATCATGTGTGTTGACAGGGAGTAGTGTATGGTGCTGTTGGCATCCTGTGTGTTGACAGGGGGTAGTGTATGGTGCTGTTGGCATCATGTGTGTTGACAGGGGGTAGTGTATGGTGCTGTTGGCATCATGTGTTGAGGGATGGGATCAGAGTACTAAACAAACACACAGTTCAATGTATTTCTCCAGTTTCAGTATTAGCTGTAACAGTCACTGAAGACATTGGCCAACAGCTTCTGACATCAGTGGTATTTTCAGGGTCTTTATGCCAGCTAAGGGATTAAAGACGCACACTTTCCCACTACCCTCCTCCCTCCCCCCTCCCCTTTTGTTGTGTCTGGGCCCTGCCTGGGAAACGAATCCCACTCATTGTCCCAGTAAAAGCAGCCGCTGTTTATCACACCAGGGCAGAGTGAACCACAATAGAACCACACATCCATCCACATAGGCTGAAAGAGCATCCAACGTTCTCCAAGAGATATTGAGACATTGATGGTTGCATGCACACTTACTCTCGCACAAACGGTAGAAAGATCATTGTTTCAACAACAGTAGCATCTCCAGGATAAAGAGCTTACAGTTTACCTAATAACTAATGACACGCCTCTTGCCAGCAAAGCGCTGTGTGTTTACTCTGTCAGTGGGTCATTAAACCATGCTTTTCATCTGTCTAGATATAGCCAACTTTTTTGTTGTTGCTGTTGCCTGTTTTGTATGTTATTTTGGCATTAATATGTGTCACATATCAGTGTGCAAACAATGTAAAACAAAATGGTATCATTGACTTAATAAAACCGCACACAAACATGGTCTCTTTTCTGCTTTCTTGAGTAAGGCAGCTCCAAAATGCAGGTGTTTCAGCCTAGATCATTGCTTTCTGAGGTGGTGGGGCAGCCAGCGGAAAATATGGAGCGTAGGGGTTGGTAATGTTCTCTAGTTGCACCGTGATTGGCTCGGTGTTCTGTCACTCATGGGGACACTACATTACCGCAAAATCTACAGGTAGAGCTAGAAAATTCAAGCCTCTTGGGTGCTGCCATAGAGTTACATTAGAAGTGCCCATCCAAGAAGGCTCAAGGTCATTGGCCACAGATAGCTTTGATTGGACTGATCATGTCAACATCATACTTTCAAAATCTTAGCTAGCAAGCTAGCAGTCATCATCATGAATCAAGTCGACAATCTACTTTTCAATCCTTGTCATATGAAGAGAAATTATGAAGAGAAAATATAGATAAAATGTATTGGTGCTCATCGGTCATTGGACAAAACATTACACAACAAGTTGGAAATCGCAAAATCAACAATGAGTGGTTTGGAAGGAATCAGTGGGTAACTGCAAGCATTGCAAAGCAATCACTAGCCTGCTATTCAGTGGAGAGGGTGTGTGGTCCAAGTCTGGGTTTAAGGGTCTCTTTTCCAAGCTTAAAATGATAAACATTCAACACCATGGGCCAGAAAAGGTTGAATACAATTGACCATGCTGTCAATCCGGCATGAGTCCTGCCGCGTTCAAAACAACTGGGAACTCAGAAAAAAAAAACTAACTCCGACTGGCAAAATACGCTCATACAACTCAGAATTCCAAGTCGGGATAGCAGGCCTCTTTCTAGAGCTTCGACCTGAAGATCACTGACGTCATGATTCAACCTTGTTTTTTTTTCGAGTTCCCAGTTGTCTTGAAAGCACCATAAATCCAGAGAATGCCAGAATTTAATGACAAAGTTTGATGACAAAATTCGCCCACGAAGGACTGCCACACCACCTTCCTGTTCAAGTGAGCACAGCACAACAAGGTGAGTCCAAAAATGTATTGTATGCTGCTGCATAAATGATGGAATATGCCAGGGAGATATGTATACTATAGCTAAGAAAGTAATACTAAGTGTATGTTGTGTAGTAAGCTGTTAGTAGCCCATGTGCCTCACCCTAATAATTTGGTCCCTTTCCCCCTCATAATTTAGCCTACTGTAGCCTATAGCCTGTTTTAGAGAAATGTAATCATCGAATATTGTAATAGCTTTCATTGTCTGATTATATGCCCCCTTTATTTATCCTACGGTTCTGACTTGGTGTGAAGGGAGAACACTGTAAGAACGGCCCATGTTCTGAATTGTGTCGCTGTACATTTCAAAAGTGCTGAACAAATAGTTATATTGACTACATCCGTCCTAGCTCGCTCATTCATCTCTTAATCAAAAATTACGGATTGCCTCTTATCCGCTCGTCATCCCCTTTGTACATCTCAAATTGTTTGTACATGTCAATTGTCAGTAGAAACCACATTTGTTTAAGCAAGCCAGACATATCAGCTATGTTTTTTTTCAAAAGGCAGTAAATGAGGATGAATTAAGTGTTTCGCTGCCAGACAAGGCTCTGCTGATAGCCAGGTGTAGCAGTGGTAAGGATTCACTACATGGTGCTGAAAAGAAAGCTCCGCTGTCGGGACAGCTTTATGTAGGCCCTAACAGTTTGAGGGCACCGTTTGTCACCGTTATAGTGCAATTAATGTACTGTTTAGTGTTGTGTAGTGGCTTTGCTGGCATGCATATTTTTTTATTTTTTTTGCCAAGATTTACATGCTAAAATCGCCACTGCCAAGGTGAGCTTATAAAAATACTTTATTACTCTATTCTTAACTAATTTTGAATAAAAAATGTTTGCAATGATGCAAAAAAAATCTAACTAATGCTCATGTACCTGTGTGGGTTTTATACCATGCTCTCCAAAATCAACCCTCATCAGTATAAACCAGAAAACCCTGCGGTCACGTTTCAGGGGGGACCGACATCAGGTGTCAGGGAAAGTGACGTCAACCGGTCAGGCTTAGCTAGCTACGACCAGCTGGAGCCGGTAAGACTCGCATCCACACAGTGAGTGGGTCCATAAGGATCAAGGTTGAGAAACACTAATGCAGTCTATTCTAGAACCATAGACATGCATGTTCGCAGTCACTGTCAGTATTCAGTCTGATGTTGGTGTAATGCATTAGGACAGATGGACAGGCAGCCCTGGGCAGTAGGTAACAGCTCAGTCTTACAGCCCTGGGCAGTAGGTAACAGCTCAGTCTTACAGCCCTGGACAGTAGGTAACAGCTCAGTCTTACAGCCCTGGGCAGTAGGTAACAGCTCTGTCTTACAGCCCTGGGCAGTAGGTAACAGCTCTGTCTTACAGCCCTGGCAGTAGGTAACAGCTCAGTCTTACAGCCCTGGGCAGTAGGTAACAGCTCAGTCTTACAGCCCTGGGCAGTAGGTAACAGCTCAGTCTTACAGCCCTGGGCAGTAGGTAACAGCTCAGTCTTACAGCCCTGGGCAGTAGGTAACAGCTCAGTCTTACAGCCCTGGGCAGTAGGTAACAGCTCAGTCTTACAGCCCTGGGCAGTAGGTAACAGCTCAGTCTTACAGCCCTGGGCAGTAGGTAACAGCTCAGTCTTACAGCCCTGGGCAGTAGGTAACAGCTCAGTCTTACAGCCCTGGGCAGTAGGTAACAGCTCAGTCTTACAGCCCTGGGCAGTAGGTAACAGCTCAGTCTTACAGCCCTGGGCAGTAGGTAACAGCTCAGTCTTACAGCCCTGGGCAGTAGGTAACAGCTCAGTCTTACAGCCCTGGGCAGTAGGTAACAGCTCAGTCTTACAGCCCTGGGCAGTAGGTAACAGCTCAGTCTTACAGGAGTCTTACAGCCAGCTGCCACTACAGTCTTCTCTCAGACTCTTACCCTATAAACCCAGAGAGTTAGTTAGTTTAATAGCATGGTTAGGATAACACTCTGGCCCAAACCCAGACCCAGAAACTCACACACACACACACAACCTAGAGAGAAGCTGCCTCTGAGCGAAGGGTGTGTGTGTGTTTCTGTTTCTCTAATAAATCTAACATAAGTTTATACAAACATGTCTTCTAAAAATAGACCTTACAGTACATCTCCCTCTGTGTTTTTCCCTCTTTCTTCCTGGTATTAGAGGGAAGGAACGGCTCTTTTCAGAGCATCTCTAACCCATTCAGTGCGATTGAGAACTAAGGGCCATACCCTACCATTCTCACTGACTGCATTGTATGTGGTGTGCAGAGACGTGTTCAGTCTCGTCACTGTGGTCTGTGAGAGCTCCAACTGAAATCCAGGGAAAAGCCACCAAAAACAGGCCTGTGCCAGCCAGGGAACTCTTAAGCAACACAAAACCTCACAACACCCCCAACTTCCTCCCAACCAGGCCAACACAGAACCCAAGTTTTGAGGTTGATGGGGGCCAGGAATGCCACCCTTCCCCCCCCTCGACCTCTTTCCCCCCCTCGCCACTCATTCACAATCAGATCAGGGGCTTAATCAGTGAAGTTCAAGGTTTACAATGTTGCAGATAGAAATGTAAATAGAGCTGACCTGAAAACAGATCATTATTTCTGCTCTATGCAACACATTTCTATCATGTAACGTTTTATATCTCATCATATTCCTTCCTGTCTTAAAACTATTGTATAACCTCACAGATTACAGCTCAGATCTGGATGGATGACAGCTCACAGAGAACAGGGGAGAAATGGGGAAAAGGAGGAGGGCGAGAAAAGGGGAAAAAGGAGGAGGGAGAGAGATACTCCATTGAAAGGAGGAGGGAGAGAGATACTCCATTGAAAGGAGGAGGGAGAGAGATACTCCATTGAAAGGAGGGGGGAGAGAGATACTCCATTGAAAGGAGGAGGGAGAGAGATACTCCATTGAAAGGAGGAGGGAGAGAGATACTCCATTGAAAGGAGGGGGGAGAGAGATACTCCATTGAAAGGAGGAGGGAGAGAGATACTCCATTGAAAGGAGGAGGGAGAGAGATACTCCATTGAAAAGAGGGGGGAGAGACATACTCCATTGAAAGGAGGAGGGAGACACATCCTCCATTGAAAGGAGGAGGGAGAGAGATACTCCATTGAAAGGAGGCCAGGGTTCTATTACTAATGCCTACATTGTTAATGTGGAGACATGGCTCTGGTTGAGCTGTGGGGGCTGGGAAGACAACTACACAGCTCTTTCCAGTAATGTAGGAGATTCCACGAGAGACTCAGAAAACTAAATCCATTCTACACAGGCCCCTCTCTTCATGTTCCTTCTATGCGTTTCATCGAACGCCATCAAAGCTAAAAAAGATCTGACCAACAGTTTGTTGAATAGTTTACCATGCATTTCACTGCAGTCATGACATTCCTTTCACATGATTGTGTGACAACACTGACACAAAGTTCACCCCCATTTTCACCCATGCACCAACATGGTAGTTACCATGCCTCTGTGCAGTAGACAGCGTGCTACTCCCTCTCCAGTCCCATTAAATAACACAGCCGCTCTCTCTTTGTTCGGTCATCATGTTCCCACAAGCAGCAGGCGGTTAAACACATGTTAGCAGCCTGGAAAGACATCCTTGCCTTTGTCCTTGCCTTTACACGTCTGGTCTGAAGGACAAAGTCACGATCACAGGTGGTACAGTCTTTGATGTCGCCCTTGAAAAATACAGTATAATCACCCAGTCTGATATTAACCCCGAACCCCTCCATTCCACTCCCTTCCCCTCCCCTTTATTTAACCCCTACGGCTAACCCCTTTGTTCGCTGATCCATGCATTAACTTCATGTGTTGGTGTGGTATGTGGTGTATGGGCAGGGTGGGCAGGGCAGTCTTGGTATGTGGACTGGAAGGCAACAGATTGTATTTGGGTTGTGGAAGTGTGTGTGTGTGTGGCGTGGAGCGCCATGCTGTGTAGGTATAGTTGATGATGGAGCAGCTGTGTGTGTGGTGGTGTGGCAGGGAGATGGGCAGCTGTGTGTGAGTAAGAGGACAAGTAAGGGATGAACAGCCATTCCACAGCTGTGTGTGTGTGTGTGTATTAGTGTGTGTCTGTGTGTATTAGTGTATGTGGGGGGAACCCAGTTCTATTATAGTATTACAGTCAGGGTTTACCAGATCACCATCTGCCATGGGGATAATAACACACACACACACACACACACACACACACGACAACTGGGTCAAACGGCCACCGTTGCCCTGTTGCCATGCATGCCCACTGTGTGTGTGTGTGTGTGTGTGTGTTCTGACCATCCCCATCCCATAAATCTCTGGATAGGATTAAATCTGTAATGGTTAGAATATTTCTACATGATCAGCTGCAATATGTGGCTACTGTTCAGTCTTTGTCAAATCCTTTTTGCCATGGAGCGTCAGGTGTCAACACGGTGGCTAGTCTACTGCACTGTAAGCTACACTATATACACAAAGGTATGTGGACATCCTTTCAAATTTGTGGATTCGGCTATTTCAGCCACACCCGTTGCTGACAGGTTTTGCAATATCCATAGAAAAACATTGGCAGCATGATGGCCTCACTGAAGAGATCAGTGAATTTCAACGTGGCACCGTCATAGGATTCCACCTTTCCAACAAGTCAGTTTGTCAAATTTCTGCCCTGCTAGAGCTGCCCCGGTCAACTGTAAGTGCTGTTATTGTGAAGTGGAAACGTCTAGGAGCAACAACGGCTCAGCCGCGAAGTGGTAGGCCACACAAGCTCATAGAACGGGACTGCTGAAGCGCGTAGCGCGTACACATCGTCTGTCCTCAGTTGCAACACTCACTACTGAGTTCCAAACTGCCTCTGGAAGCAACGTAAGCACAAGAACTGTTCATCGGGAGCATCATGAAATGGGTTTCCATGGCCGAGCAGCCGCACACAAGCCTAAGATCACCATGCGCAACGCCAAGCGTCGGGACCAACTCAATATTAATGCCCATGATTTTGGAATGAGATGTTCGACGAGCAGGTGTCCATATATTTTTGGTCATGTAGTGTACATCTGTGTCTGTGGCCTATCCCTGAGAGACTGGAGGAAATGTGGCACAATGTCTTTCCGCTTGACCAGCGGACCACTCTCTGTTACTGAATGGAAGTAAGAGTCAGACAACACACCACTGTTCATCACCCTCTCCACTCTCTCATGCTACTACCACAAACACACACATACCAGATATTCCAAGGAAACAGAACAATCTCTTCTAGGAAGCCTCTAGTCAAACTTTCCCTTGGTTTGACAAAGGAGAGATAAATACCAAAGAAAAGACTCCAAGGATGTGTTTTCACTTGTACTGTAAAATCTCTCTTGGAGCTTAATAGTTCAGCAGATGGAAGTGGGTTCACTGTCTTAATCGATGTCAACTCACGTGTTTAAGACAACATGTTAACTCATGACTTGAGCCAGGCAGAATCTACTGAGAAAAACAACTTCCTTAAGCCCCCAGAAAGGATTGGAAATACTTTTGGAATCAATTCAAACCAAAGCAAAATACAACAACAAAACAAACTGCTACAGTTTTCTCAATTGAATGGACAGTCAATGAAGTGAAAGTGTTGCCATGACAACGTGGCACAGATTCCTGCTGGCTCTGCCCATGTTATGACCGAGCCATCCAGATTGGCAGATTGGTAGAGAGCGAAGACTATTCCGTAGCCCTTAATCTGTGACGTGGCAGCGAGGGTGACACCTGAGGTGCCAACTGCGAGGGCTGAGTGTTGAGAGGTTTGGGTGAGTTTAAACCCACTTTATGCCAAAGCCTGTCCATCTGGCAGTGGAGAAACTGAGACAAGAGACTCGCCCTGTGCAACGGCCTGGGTGTGCACAGGCATGCAAATGTAAACGACCACTTTGTAAAATATAGGGGGAGGCGGGGTGTTTTCATTCAAATTCTCTTGTTGACCATTTACTAGAATCTAGTCCCGATTGCTTGGCACAGGGCAAACAAACACAGTCATTGGGAGTTGAAGATTGTTAGTAACCAGATACCAATTAAATGCAGGTACAGTATTTCCATTTATGCAAATAGAGTATTTTTGCAAGTGGGAGGGACAGATTAAGATGTTCCACACTGAAACAGCACAAAACAACAAAGCTAAAATATCAGAAATTGAAATATAAAAGTGTGAAAAAATGTGCATTAAACTGAAGTAGAACTTTATCACCTCTCTGACAATACCGTTCAGTCACACACAGTTGCACACGCACCATCTTCTGTCACATGCACTGTCAGTCACAAACACTGCCCCCTGCCACACAAACACAGTTCCCACCTCACTGTCAGTCACAAACACTGCCCCCTGCCACACAAACACAGTTCCCACCTCACTGTGTACAAAAGCACAACAAACACCTTACCTGTTATCAAGTTGAGTTGCAGCCACATCCTGGTGATGTCATGGCAGAGCAGGGACACTCGGTTGAGGGCCATCCTGTCCCCCTCTCCTCTCCCCCTGGGAGAACACACACACTCCCCAACACACACTCTCAGAATAAGCGGTAGTGTGAGCGACAGCCATCCATTCCTCCACAGCCTGTGTGCTGAGACTTCAGCCGTACACTGAACGCTCCGTCGCTGGGCAGCACACACACACACACTCACCACACCCCCATCCCTCCCCCGCTGTCTCCATATACACACTCACCACACCCCCATCCCTCCCCCGCTGTCTCCATATACACACTCAGCCAGACTGGGCTCAGTTTCAGGTTACACCTCCCACTGATCCCTCTCTCCCAGGTACTGAAAGAGCGTAAACAAACGATCAGAGAGAGAGAGAGAAATATACAGACACACAGAGAGAGAGAGAGAGAGAGAGAGAAGACAGAGAGAGAGAGAGAGAGAGAGAGAGAGAGAGAGAGAGAAGAGACAGAGAGAAATAGACAGAGAGAGAGAAAGAAATAGACAGAGAGAGAGAGAGAGAGAGAGAAGCCAGATGTAATTCCCTCAGATAAGCCTATACATGTGCGCCTCACACATCTCTAATCGGTGTGTAAACTGGTCTGGGATCAGATCAAGGGGAGATAAAGAGGAGTGACAGACAGAATGTGGTTGGTACCAAAGCCATCGTCCCTCACACAGCCCCCTGGGGGACCCCTCTCTGTCTGATACCCCTCAGCCAATCAGGAGCCAGGGCCTGAGTGATGATATCACAGAGCAGCTGCCTGTATGGGACCGCCTCCAGCTCAATGCCACCTATGCCATTTACTGGCCTTTTATGCAGCCAGAGATCTGGAGAGTCATGAAGTTGCCCCCACTGATCTAGGGTCAGTTTTGTGTTAAGCTGATCCTAGATCTGTCACACACACACTGCGCGTTTCTTTTACTATCCTTGTGGGGACCAAACAATTGATTCCCATTCAAAATCCTATTTTCCCTAACCCTAACCGGGGACTCTGAAAAATAATCAACCTAATTTGTTTCTGTAGGATTATTTAACATAATCACATCCAAAACACTTTTTTTCTTCCTAACCCAACTTTTCACCATTGGTAGTAAACAGGCAACGCAACAGGCATGCTGTCAGAACAGAGTGGAAAGTGGACAATAACATGAAATTATTATAAAGTTTATAGGAAATCTTACACTGTATAAAAGGATGTATAATATAGAAATGGATATCAAGTGGATGAACTCAAACCTTTGACTGGAAGAATAGCATACAGTATTTTATGATCATACTAAATGTGACTAATTGTTAATGTGCTCCAGAACTGCAACAATTAATTGATACAAAACAACATATATACAGTAATATTAGCAAAGACACTATTAAGACTTTCTAGAGTACCATATATAACTGGATTTTTTATGCTAAGGTCAACTATATACAAAGAAACATGCGGCCAGAGCTGCTCTGTGTGTGTGTGTCTGTCATCTTATTTGTACAGGAATTTTGCCCGTCTGTCCTTCTGAGTGGCAAACCTCTCAATGACCCTTTGATTAAAGTCAGGAATGTCCCTGACAAGTTTCTTCTCCATGGAGAGCATGGCCAGAGCGTTCAGGCGATCCTGTGTCATGCTGTTTTTCAGGAAGTTCTTGATCCTTTTCAGTGTAGAGAAGCACCTTTCTGACTCAGCAGTTGTCATGGGTGTGGTGATGAGGATCTTGAGGAGGCTGGCAGTCTCTGTGAAAGTGCTCTGAAGGTTGTTCTCCATGAAGAACTGGTACAGGGGCACTGCACCACTACAAGCCTTGAACTCACTGTTCTCATAGATGAGGGACAGTTCGGTTTTGAGCTTGGCCTTGTTCAACATGGGGTACGCCTCCACGGTTGTTTCAAGCGCTGTATCGGGGAACTTCACACTGTGTTGTGGGAACAACTCTCCGTGCAATAGTGTTGCGCTGATGAGGTGCTGGGTGAAGGAGAACCTCTCTTTGGCATGACTCAGGATGGTATCACATACCTGTAAAAGATACATCATCAGCTTTAATTTGCAATTAAGCTATTTTGATGCAAGTGATCCTGACTGACACATGCCTATGTCCAACTCAAGTATATGATTACCAAGGTGCTGATTGTTCAGGGTTTTGGCTACATACTACCAGGCCTGAAAAAAGTTCTAGGGGGAAACACTGACAATTACATCACAACTTACCTCTATAGCCAACCTCTGTTGTTCTCCTGGTCCCAGCATCCTCCGTCGCTTGATGGGCTGTTGCTGCTCGTCAGATGCGCTGTCCCCACACAAAGAGGGAATTGAGGCCCTGGGTCCAAAAAATAAAGTTTAATTTGATAACTTGCAATCAGACTTCTTAACTCACTGTAATTCCCCCTCAACACACAACCAGTGACTTTTATATATATATATATAGACAGACAGACAGACAGATAGTGTGTATATACACACAAACTATGTCTAGTAACTGCTTTTAACCTGTGATGTACATAATTAACTGATGTTATTACGTTTTAAAGCCTTTTTCTATTACATTTGTGAGAGGGATGCAACATCATTTTGTTCTGCTGTGCACTTAGCAATAAAGTTAATCTTCAATAACAACTAGGCCTCTTCTAGAAATTGACCTGGTGGACACCTGAATAATTATTACAAACTGTGTAGTACTTTCCTGCATTATTATCAACGTCTGATTGTGTCTTCTCTTTCCTTTTAAAATACTAAAACAAATATAATTGTGACGGCTCTATGATAATCACTCACTTTGATGACCAGACACATTTAGGCTTTTAAACTGTTGTAAGTGAACTATTCATCTTTCTAACAACATCTTTATCAGCCAATAGTAAATATAGTTATTTACCTGATTGTTAGCATGCTGTCTGTGAACCTCTGGACAAGTGCTTTAATGAAGACAGGGTCGATGTTCCTCTTCTGCAGCTGGCTGAAAAGCATGTCCACATTTGGCATGATCTTGTGGAACAGTGCCAGGAAAAAACAGAAAGCCTCGTCTTCGAGCATCCTCACAAAGCCCCCCGCCTCTCTGACAGTCGGGGCATCAAAGTTCCCAGAGTCTCTGATGGTCTGGAAACACGTTAGGAGGTCATCCCTGTACTCGTACACAGTGTTTACAGCGCGACTGTGGAAGTTCCACCGTGTTGTAGAGGCTCTGGGGAGTCTATGCGCAACCACTTCGTCAAGCACGGTGGTTCGCTTGGGAGACCTGGAGAAGAAAGCAGAAAATCCTGCAAGGTCGGAAAAGAAAGTGCCGATCCTGGGGATGCGTGAAGTAGCCTGCTGCATGATGAGGTTCAGCTGATGTGCATAGCAGTGGACGTAGTGCGCATTTTCGTACACATCCACTATTTTACACTGCACTCCGCCGGTGGCTCCCCTCATCACACTTGCTCCGTCGTAAGCCTGGGCAATAAGTTTGGCCTTTTGTCCATGTGAGAGTATGGTGCTGAGCCTCTCCAGCAGCGCTGTAGCGATGGTGTCGGCGGTTGCGTTCTCGATCAAAATGAACTCGAAAAAACGCTCTTGGACGTTACTTTTAGCATCGATGTAGCGTATCACAAGCACCAACTGGCAGTGGGTGGAAACGTCAGTCGTCTCGTCAGCTTGAATGGCGATTAAATAATTTTATTTAAGGGGGCGGCGCCCTAGCGCCCTCTATCGGCCAGCCGCCACTGACCCTAACCCTAAACCCCAAACGGGTCGTTTTATCTCTGAGAAATTAAGCTAATTTGATTGCACCTAAATTGGCCATTTTAATTTATAGGATTCATATAATAATCAATAATTATAGTATCTAACATCCGATTTGGACCACACTTTTTTCTAACAATGAGTAAGACATGAGGAATCCAAAGAAGGGGTCAAAAGTCATCCACGGACACCCCCACACCAATCCCACCTCAACAACTAGTATATACAGTGAGGGAAAAAAGTATTTGATCCCCTGCTGATTTTGTACGTTTGCTCACTGACAAAGACATGATCAGTCTATAATTTTAATGGTGGGTTTATTTGAACAGTGAGAGACAGAATAACAACAAAAAAATCCAGAAAAACGCATGTCAGAAATGTTATAAATTGCTTTGCAGTTCTGTGTCTGAGAAGTAGTCCGGAGCTGCAGATTGGAGTATGTTTCTCTAATCTCCTCAGGCAGTAATACGAGACTAGCTGAGACGCCGTTACACTCAGTGTGGGAAATCCCCTTAACACACTACACAGATCCCATCGCACATGGTCATTTATCAACCCATGGAGGTCTGGATTTGGAGTCACCCTCAAAATGAAAGTGGAAAACCACACTACAGGCTGATCCAACTTTGATGTAATGTCCTTAAAACAAGTCAAAATGAGGCTCAGTAGTGTGTGTGGCCTCCACGTGCCTGTATGACCTCCCTACAACGCCTGGGCATGCTCCTGATGAGGTGGCGGATGGTCTCCTGAGGGATCTCCTCCCAGACCTGGACTAAAGCATCCGCCAACTCCTGGACAGTCTGTGGTGCAACGTGGCGTTGGTGGATAGAGCGAGACATGTCCCAGATGTGCTCAATTGGATTCAGGTCTGGGGAACGGGCGGGCAGTCCATAGCATCAATGCCTTCCTCTGCAGGAACTGCTGACACACTCCAGCCACATGAGGTCTAGCATTGTCTTGCATTAGGAGGAACCCAGGGCCAACCGCACCAGCATATGGTCTCACAAGGGGTCTGAGGATCTCATCTCGGTACCTAATGGCAGTCAGGCTACCTCTGGCGAGCACATGGAGGGCTGTGCGGCCCCCCAAAGAAATGCCACCCCACACCATGACTGACCCACCGCCAAACCGGTTCATGCTGGAGATGTTGCAGGCAGCAGAACGTTCTCCACGGCGTCTCCAGACTCTGTCACGTCTGTCACGTGCTCAGTGTGAACCTGCTTTCATCTGTGAAGAGCACAGGGCGCCAGTGGCGAATTTGCCAATCTTGGTGTTCTCTGGCAAATGCCAAACGTCCTGCACTGTGTTGGGCTGTAAGCACAACCCCACCTGTGGACGTCGGGCCCTCATACCACCCTCATGGAGTCTGTTTCTGACCGTTTTGAGCAGACACATGCACATTTGTGGCCTGCTGGAGGTCATTTTGCAGGGCTCTGGCAGTGCTCCTCCTGCTCCTCCTTGCACAAAGGCGGGGTAGCAGTCCTGCTGCTAGGTTGTTGCCCTCCTACGGCCTCCTCCATGTCTCCTGATGTACTGGCCTGTCTCCTGGTAGCGCCTCCATGCTCTGGACACTACGCTGACAGACACAGCAAACCTTCTTGCCACAGCTCGCATTGATGTGCCATCCTGGATGAGCTGCACTACCTGAGCCACTTGTGTGGGTTGTAGACTCCGTTTCATGCTACCACTAGAGTGAAAGCACCGCCAGCATTCAAAAGTGACCAAAACATCAGCCAGGAAGCATAGGAACGGAGAAGTGGTCTGTGGTCACCACCTGCGAAACCAGTCCTTTATTGTGGGTGTCTTGCTAATTGCCTATAATTTCCACCTGTTGTCTCTTCCATTTGCACAACAGCATGTGAAATGTATTGTCAATCAGTTCCTTCCCCAATACTTATCTACCTCATGTTATACAACATTATATTATAATAACTTGACAATAAACATGACAATAACATAGGTAATGCTATCCGAGTAATTGTTATGCATAAATATGCGTACAATATGCATCACTTAAATTACTTTTTAAAGACATCAATTCAGGCCCTAATTAGTCAAACACATCTGATGTCAGTCAACAGGGATAGGCTCTGGAGTAAACAAGCTTGCATCCCAAATGGCTCCCTAGTCCCTATATAGTGCTCTGGTCAAACGTAGTGCACTATAACGTGAATAGGGTGCCATTTGGGATGCATACGAAGTGTGTCTGATCCAAATCCTTTTACATTGTCTCTCTGCAGGCGTAGTGATGAAAATAGACTGTCGTTACTGTATTTGTCCCCATTATGAGAAGACAGTCCCAGGAACCAGGAAGCATATGGAGATTTAGCCTGTCAGCTGTTCTACTGTATTATGGGATGGCTGACAACCTTCCTGTCATATGGTCCCACTGTAGGGCTGCGTCTCAATAGTCTAAAGTGGCTTCCCCTCCTCGTCTCATCTCATCTCCTATATCTATACTGACCTGAACTGATGTGGTCCTCTGTAGCTCAATTGGTAGAGCATGGCGCTTGTAACGCCAGGGTAGTGGGTTCGATCCCCGGGACCACCCATACGTAAAAATGTATGCGCACATGACTGTAAGTCGCTTTGGATAAAAGCGTCTGCTAAATGGCATATTATTATTATTATAACTGATATGAAATCAGGAGCTAGGAAGTAGACAGGGACAGTGTGTGTGATCTGGGTGACACTGAACGCTGACTCTAGGAAAGGAAATGGCCGTTTATAATGGCCAGTTTCCTGTGGCTGCTGGATTGCTTTGGGACACGAGGCGTCTACTCACGGGGCATAGTGCACAACAGACGTCTCAGCATTTAATTTCCAAGAAACCGATTGTGACTCATGCCTGGCCTGCTATGTTGGCTATGAGCCCAAGTAAGGGGTGTCAAACTCATTCCATGGAGGGCCTAGTGTCCAGGTGAGGGGAGTTCCTTACTAATTAGTGACCTTAATTCATCAATCAAGTACAAGGGAGGAGTGAAAACCCCCCAGACACCTGGCCCTCCGTGGAATGAGTTTGACACCTGTGGCCTAAGTACTAGGCTCAGTTGTCAACAAGTTCCACCCAGAATAAAGCTAGTATGTTTGACCCTGGGATTACTTAAAACAGGTAGATTTCTCTCACCCACAGCACCAGCTTCTGTATCACACATAATGTACACACAAACACACACTTCACAGTTGTCTCAGAGACCGGGGGGACCCCACCCATAACACTAACATATGTAATGTTATTAGTACCTGACTCCGGCTGCTATTAGTCATGTAATTAGTCCCATCAGTCAACAACAAGACAATCTATCATCTATTATTCAAATGTACGCAAACTATTCAGAAGGAAACTGCATCACACAGGTACAAGTGTTGCACGTAATGCAAACAAACAGAGCATCGTACCAATAGATTGGTCTACATTGTAAACATTGACAGAAGCATCTAGAACAGGGTGTCAAACTCATTCCATGAAGGGCTTGGTGTCTGAGGGTTTTTGGTTTTTCCTTTCAATTAAGACCTAGACAACCAGGTGAGGGAGTTCTTTACTAATTAGTGACCTTAATTCATCAATCAAGTACAAGGGAGGAGAGACAACCTGCAGACACTCAGCCTTCCATGGAATGAGTTTGACACGTGATCTAGGCGGTTGATATCAACTTTTAATTTATAATGTGACTGATGGAATTAGATTAGTGCTGACCTTTGGCAGGCCTGTTCAGTTGAAGGAAGTAATTGTTGTGGTTGATAAACTGCTCTGATTGACTGTTTGTTTGCATTACGTGCAACACTTGTACCTGTGTGATGCAGTTTCCTTCTGAATAGTTTGCTACATTTGAATAATAGATAATAGATTGTCTTGTTGTTGACTGATGGGACTAATTACATGACTTTCCCGTCTCTTTATTCAAACACCATTTGTTCCCTCCTCCCATAAACTTACCAGGAAAAGAAAGACTGAGGTGTGACTTAAGGCCTGTGGAATCTGTGTTGGTGTAAGATAACATCCAGCTGATGCAGACATGATCTCAGGGGGATTTCTAGAGCAGGAACACTTAGGGCTCATAAGACAATAGACCATCTACTGATTCAATAAAGGATTAGAGTTGTCTCTAGTTTAGTTGTCAAACCATCGGACAGGAAAATACCTCAAAACTAAATGTTGCTTTTGAGATCATTTATAGTACAAGAGAACAACAACCAATCTTGTTTACCAAAGGGAGTGGCTGGTCTCTCTCCGTCTCTGTCTTTCTCAACGTCTCTATATCCTGCTATCCTTCTCCGTCACTCTCTGCGCATCAGTTCAGAATGCCAGACAGTCATTAAGGCCAATTTGCTTGTTCCTGCCCATTCCCAGTCACGTCCGCCTCACCAGCAACCTGGGTGGTGCTGCCAGGGAAGGCAGGCTTGTGTGTTTGTGTGTGTGTGTGCTTTCTCATTAAGCCATTTACTCGAAACCTGGGCGTCATAACACATATTTGGCAGAGGTGCAGCACCGGAAATTAGGTTAATGATTAAACAATCATACTTCAACATTTATCATTTATAAAACACTATCAATAGCCTGACACACCTGGGATTACCAGCTGTGAGAATTAGTATACGACCACAATGAAAGACAGACAACCTGGGAAAGGAGGGATGGAAGAACAGATGGAAGACGGAAGACAAGATGGAAGGGGAAAAACAAGGGAGGGAACAACAAACAGAAAGAACAGGATAGAGGTAGAGAGCAAAGCCAAAACAATCAGACAAGCCTTCATGGTGGTCAATGATCAATCTGAACGTTTCACAGACAATTCAATAAACCAATTGCGTACATATAAGCCCTGCTCAATCATAAAGAAACAGAGATAGCGTCCAATCAGGCACAGACACAAAAAAACACCATTATCCATGCCACTTCTTAGCAAGACAAACACTGAAATCTTACCCAAGTCTAACAGAGAAAGCCTCATCATCATTATCTGTTACTGTAGCCGAGTCAAAAACATATAGACTCTTTCACAAGCACAAGGCACACAACAGTCTACACTGGACTTGAGTAACACGAGTTGGATAAAGGATAGGACAGGAAGGGGCCGTTCGGTATCTAGAGATGCTGACGATGCAGAGAGCTACAGAGGGGTCACAGTGAGGTTCAGAGGTCAGGGAAAGGTCACAGATGGGATGAGGAAACTGAAATCTACACTGACAGATAGAGAGGATGTTCTATGGGATGAATAGGAAACTGAAATAAGTCAAGAATGACTAGGAATCATTGAGGTGTAACAGACCGAAAGTGGCGGAAAATGTATAGGGACTGTTTTCTGGACACAGACAAATACTGGTTCTGAGGATTCCATTGAGAGTGATTTCTAATCCAGGCCTTAATCTGTGTCTGGGAAACCAGCCCATAGTGTGTTGTTAGGGCTGAATCCTACCATTAGATCCACACTTGAAACTCTGACTTTTAAGTAAATCATGAATGGATGTCAGTGGAGGCTCCTCAGAGGAGAAAGGGGAGGACCATCATCCTCAGTGAATTTCATAAAAATAAAAAGTGAAACATTAAAAAAAAGCTATCATTTTTAAATAAAACTAAACTAAATATATCCACGTCACCAAATAATTGATTAAAACACTGTTTTGCAATGAAGCTTTACAGTAGCCTCAACAGCACTCTGTAGGGCAGTCCCATGGTGTAGCCGGAGGACAGCTAGTTTCCATCCTCCTCTGGGTACATTGACTTCAATACAAAACCTAGGAGGCTCATGGTTTTCACCCCTTCCACAGACTTCCACAGTAATTATGACAACTTCCAGAGAACATCCTCCAACCTGTCAGAGCTCTTGCAGCATGAACTGACATTTTGTCCACCCAAGGTTCAGAGAATGAATCTAGTACTGAAAGCATAAGCTACAGCTAGCTAGCACTGCGGTGTATAAAATGTGGTGAGTAGTTGACTTAAAGAGAGAGAAAGACAATAGTTGAACAGTTTTGAACAAATACATTTCTTCAAAAATGAAGGAGAAGCAAGAGAGTGAGGGGGAGAGAGAGCTAGCTATATTTTTTTCACTTTCACTTACTTAGCTAGCTAGTTTAGCCTATTCGAACACCTGGCTCAAACAGAAAAGGCTTCTATGTTAGCTAGTTGGCTATGGATATCCAACACTGGAACTCTTCCAAGTTAAGGTAAGCTTTTGGTTTTATTAATTTATTGCCACCAGGGTCCACTGGTGTAACTGCTAAAGTGCTTGCTGACTGTACACTGTACTGCATGATTGTAGCGGGTTTACTAATTAATTAGTTATATTAGCTATGTTGACTATAACGTTAGATAATATAGTGACAACTATGTAGGCTGTGTGTAGCTGTTATGATATGAAGCTTTGGCTTGGAAAGTGTTTTTTGCCTGGTCACAGACAGCTGATGTGTTGTGCACTAAGGTCCACAAGCGAAGGGAAAAGGTGAGAGAGGAGGACAGCGCGTAGATGCGAGAAGAAATTACAACGAGCGAAGTGATCATGCTGTTTGTATGTGGCTGCTATGAAAGTGAACTGTGTTTGGGTGTGATTAAGTGTGTATTCATTCCGCCGATTCTGTTGAAAAACGTTTCTCAAAACGGAAGCAAACGGAATGAAATTGGGATAAACATACCCAAATTTGATCAATAGAAACTCTTGTTTGCAACTGTTGGACTAATGATTATGCCCTAGATCAGCTAGATGCAGGCAAAAGCATGCAAGGCAGTATTTAATGTGTCACGGTCTGTCACCTTGATTACAAAAAATTCATTCATTCATAGGCTAGGTTGTAGCAACCTCATGTAGTAGCCTAAACCTATTGATGTTACATTGACCTGGGTGAATGGAATATGAATGACAGTCATCCAATATGCTGTAATAGAAATAAGGCCATACTCATTTAAAAAAATGAATTGCCCTCCCTCATCTTAAATGGCACCGACCACCACTGATTGATGTCAATGGGAAATAAATGCAGAAATGTGAGTGGCATACAAAGATTGTGAAATTAAATGGAAATATTGGCACCGTTTAAAGCCATCTAATGACATGGTGCCAATCTTTCCTATTGGTTTAGGACGGGGGCGTGCAGAATTCTCTCTGTAGCGAGTTCTACCCAGTAGACGGTGTGTGGAAAACAGACTCTGAAGCGCAACTTCAGACGACTTCAGGAGGTATAAGGACATCTGACAAGCTTTTGGTTCTGGGGTGAACTATGCCTTTAAATAGCTTCCATTCCCTGAAGTGCACATCAATGAGGCTAAAATTAAGTCTTAAGCTGAAAAAATATAACAGACTTTGTAGTCCAAGGCAGGGTGAATATTTTATGTCAAAATATTCAGGCAAATATGCACTCTAAATGTAGCTCAGCTGGGGCTTGGATTAACACTGACTACCATTATACTTTCCTACGCATATTCAGCAACACCCTGAGCAAATAAGGATATAACCATTTAACAATTACCACGGAACACAATAGGGATCCATTCTCTCACACAGCTTGCCTTGTGCAATAAGACTGACCGCAGTGAAAAGGAGATGAACGTTTAAAACACACATAGATCCTAGCACATAAAACGTACCGATCAGCCTCATGCAGTAATGCATTAATTCAGAGTTGACCAAAAGGCTGATGTTTAAGTCAGTGTTTATTAGTGCTATGATGAGACACTCCACTAAGCATAATAAGGTTATGTACTGCATGTTATTACACTGGTGGGTGGCTGATTAGACCCTTTAACACTGTAAACATACAACCCTGGGTAATACACATCCAGTACAGTCCACAGGAGGTGCACTGTGAACACACATTTAGGCTCACTCAAACACACTGTCACCACTGCCTCGAAGCAGTGAGAGTAAGAGTTAACTACGCATGACACACACATGTACACACACACACTCACTATGCAGCCGCTGACAGCTCTGTGAGAATCGGTAGAAGCTCTTCATTTCCTCCAGAGAGATGTGGACATATCCTCCTCCTCTGTGTCCGCTGGACTGCAAACGCACCTCCATCTCATCCCTCTCTCCCATCTTCTCATCTTTTTCTTTCATATTCTCATCACTCACTCCCATCCTCATCACCACCTGTCACAGCGATATGAACCAGTGCAGCTCTGTCATCCCTCTCTTCAACCTCTATATTATCTCTCTCTCCCTCGCCTTCCAAACAGCTGCAGTACAAATGAGTAGCGCTCTAAACTAACTCTGAGTTTTTTTTACCTTTGAGAACTACGCCTCCCCCCCACACACACACACACACACACCACACCACACACACACGGTTTCACTTCTGCCATTGAGCTGGATTTACCTGACTGCCTTACTCAGCTACAGTACAACAAAAACAGATCTCGCCACCATAACCACACAAGTCTCCTGTGACGTTCCAGTCACATTGTAGCCATTTCTCTTACTCAGTTACTCACAATAAAGAGGATTCTGACAGGGAGGCTGAAACAAAACACAATACCAGCACCTACAGGAAACCAACCCACACCTGGGCTTTTACAAGAGCCCCTGTCCCAACCAACAGAGCCACCTGAATCATAGAACACAAACACAATGAATCAGATTCTTCCAACGTGACGTTAACACTTACAATTACTAACCTGAAACAAACCAAAAGGGAATATTCCACTGCCACTCACTGAACCACTTACCTTGGCCACTGACCTGAGTGCTCCTACAGCTCTGTCTCAGACCAGCAGCAGAACCACTGACCTCAGCCATTGACCTGAGTGCTCCTAAGGCTCTGTCTCTTCTCTGGCTTAGACCAGCAGCAGAACCACTGACCTCAGCCATTGACCTGAGTGCTCCTAAGGCTCTGTCTCTTCTCTGGCTTAGACCAGCAGCAGAACCACTGACCTCGGCCATTGACCTGAGTGCTCCTAAGGCTCTGTCTCTTCTCTGGCTTAGACCAGCAGCAGAACCACTGACCTCGGCTCCTAAGGCTCTGTCTCTTCTCTGGCTTAGACCAGCAGCAGAACCACTGACCTCGGCCATTGACCTGAGTGCTCCTAAGGCTCTGTCTCTTCTCTGGCTTAGACCAGCAGCAGAACCACTGACCTCGGCTCCTAAGGCTCTGTCTCTTCTCTGGCTTAGACCAGCAGCAGAACCACTGACCTCGGCCATTGACCTGAGTGCTCCTAAGGCTCTGTCTCTTCTCTGGCTCAGACCAGCAGCAGAAGCGGCTAGCTGCCATCCTGACCCAATCACACACAACAGAGACTATCTACTGTACAAAACTTGTGAATGGAGTTTAGTAGTTGTAACTACAACCCTATAGGAAATACTCTCAGCATGTTGACCTCTACAACTGTTTCAACTCTTCACAGGGTGGTTCCAGAGAGGTTATCCATTAGCTAGACATCAGGGTCAAGTGAGGCAATGAACTCTCGAGGGCAAGTACTGCACTTTATTAAACCACCCAAGTAGTTGCTGGGAGATTCCTGTAGTGGCCATGTCAAACTGATGGTAACTTTCTGTAAACACAGACCGACAACAGTGTTGCACACACGCACAGTCCGCAAAAGAACACCCCACAGAAGCACCCCCAGGGGTGGTCCGATTCACCCCACACACTCTCTCTTTCACGCACACACACACACTCCTAACCTGTGTCCCGGCGGTCCCAGTAGGTGCTCTTGCGTCTGTAGCTATACCTGCGGTTGTCTGTAGCTCCGTGGGCCAGGGCGATTACAGACAGGCTGTGTAGGACCTGACCCAGTCTGGACAACATATGTGATGAAGCCTCCTGCAGCCGTCCCTCACGCACAAACTCCGCCAGAGACATGAAAGAGTGTGTGTGTGTGTGCAGCTTTGTGGGTGACCGTTCCGGTGTCCCCAAGTCGAGCCAGGTCGCACTAAGCTAAGCTCAGTGTGTGTGTGTGTGTATTCCGGTTTCTCCAAATCAAGCCTAAATGAGTCAAACCAAGCCGCACTGCGCAAACCAGTGCCTCTCACTCCTCTACTCCTCAGCCAGTCTGTCTGTGACTGTGTGTGTGTGACTGGGGAACACATCTAAGTGGTGGTGGTACGTCCGGTTGACAGCGGAGAGGAAGAGAGGGGTGGGACCAGGGATGGGGGATGGAGGAAGCACAGCGCTGGCTGCTGTTTAAGACCACAAACCCCTTCTGCTGCGCTAATTATACCAACAGCGAGCCAAGTGTAATCTGTGCATGCTCAGGGACCGCGCACACACACACACACACACAGACAGTTTACGATGTGAGCACACTGTGAACAATGACATTGTCCACTTCCTCCACAGCAGCACCAAACCAAGGCTGTGACAATAAAGGACACATTAGTTCCAGATTGTCAACGTCAGGACTCTCTCAGTCAACTATAATGCCTCGGCCTACCACATCTGATAGATCTGCAGGCAGGCAGACACAGACACAGACACACACACTGGGTATCCCTCTACACAAGACAGATATCTCCCCCCCCCCCCCCCATCACACATAAACAAACTGGGATTTACAGAGCCAATTACCCAGTATAATATCTCTGGGTAGTGTGGACTCTCTCGGTCTGTCTGGGGAAACACTTCATTATCACACAACAGAGCCAACACTCTAGAGACAGACACACAGACAGAGAGACTCAGGCAAAGGGAATAGCAGATACTGTACACCAGGCGCTTATTTAATTGTGGAAAATGTTCAGAGTTGTAATAGAAATGTATGGCATAGAACTGACTGACGTTATTTCCCATTGATAGGAAGTTAGAAAATGCCTTGTCTGCACAATGTATCTCCATCTGCCTGGAATATAAATTCAGCTGAATTTTTAGAGCACTTTGGAGGTATGGAAACGTCTGACAAGCTTTAATTTTGGTGTGAACTACTCCTTTAAAGGGATATTTCTCTCAAAGCTAGTCCATGGACAAGGTAAGACAGCAATCCATGTTTTGATTGCGTACCTGGCCACTGTCTCCAACTTTTTTATTTTTTGCAAACGCCAATGTAAGTCAATACCCCAGATATTAGCATTTTTCGCTTAGCTCAATAAATGTACTTTAAGACGATGTATTGACTTGCATTGATGTGTATTTTGGGTGAACTATCCCTTTAAGTGGGTCTGTTCTCCCCAGCAGCAGCAGCGTCCTATACAGTAGGTCTGTCTGGCTCCAGTCTGGGCCAAACTTGACCCCCGGCCAGACAGCTGAGGAGTAGTGTGACACCAGGGTCACCAGCTGACACCCACCCCTACCCGATACCCCCATCCAACAAATCTCCAAAGCTTACTCTGGTAATCTAACTGGACTTTCCCAAACATTTTAAGTATTCTCACAAACCTGCATACCGGCCTCGATTGAATGGGACACTATAGGCTATTGAAATCAAACACTAACCATAAGAGTTCAAAACATCTTGGGTCTCCGCCGCATTGAGCCAAAGTGATAACACTTTCATCCTTGCTCTGTCCAAAGTCAGACAATACTAGAAAGCGTTCGAACCTGAATTTATAAACGGCTCTTTTAGAAGATGGAGCGCCTCCGATTACACTGCTACTGTAAACTAGGTCATCATCGTGCAGTAAGTAAAAATAATACAATGATTTTAGGCCATGTTCACTCTCTATGCTAATTAGAAGCCATGGGTCATTGATTGTGATGCACAGAATCTCTCTCTGCAGCCCCACGACAAAGTGGGAAAACATGAATTTGCAACCAGTCACAAATCAAGGAGATTAGAATTCTTCTGAACAAAGTTCTTACAATTACGAATAAAGTCCTCATGAGGGCAAATGGGCACTTAAGGAGATAACATGGAGATCCATCTCTAATACTGTACATGAAAATCCCTCAGTGTTTCGCTAAGCGGCTGTGTGTGATGCTGAAGGCATGAGGCTGCATTCCTCATGTTTTATGTGGTCATTCTCACCTAGTTCATTATGCATCATTGTCCTACACATGATCATTTCCCATATGATCACATTTACATTTACGTCATTTATCACACCCACAGGTTCATCACAGGGTCAGTAGGGACCTTCCAGGAAGTAATACAGAGACACAGATCCATTCCCTCAATGTTCAATTGAAAAGTTAGTTAACTTTGATAAGTCTAATATCTCATATCCAGCCAGAATTCACAGGTTGTGTGTAAACTGTACAAGAACACCACTAAAAGTGTCCTGTATAGCTAGTGTATATTATCAACTCAGGATAAAAACCTAAATGTGGTAAAAGCTGGCCTTGAGGTTGATCTGTGTGTGAACAAAGCTTGGTCTCCTCTCTGCTTCAAGATGGCTGCTGCAGGACAGCAACAATGACCTAGTTATTAAAAAAAAAAGTTTTACATTTAGCAGACACTCTTATCCAGAGCAACTTACAGGAGCAATTAGGGTTAAGTGCCTTGCTCAAGGGCACGTCGACAGATTTTTCACCTAGTCAGCTCGGGGATTCGGTCTTAACCGCTAGCAGTTACACTTCACACATCAAATGTGAAGCACTGTAGTGTACAGTAATAGCGCACTTCATTTATAGCCTACACCTACAGGCTACTGAGCTGGGAAGTAGTACCCTTGTGACATGCAAGGCTGCTTCAGGGCCCCTCTCTCTCTGACTGTGTGATGTGGCTGCAGGCTACACCAGCAGGGGGGGTTGATTCATGTCATCTTAAATGTCTTCCACCACCCCCTCCTCCACCCTCCACTCTGCCTGCCAGTGACTGTAGTGGATCAGAATATGCATCTATGGATCAGCGCTATAAAACATTTGATTAAATATACTGACCCCGAGATCAGCTAATTAAGTTTGCCACCAGCAACAGACACACAGGCACCAGAACACAGACAACAAACAGGGATACTAATGAAACAAAGTGAGTTAGTGTCAAGAACAAGAACACCATTCATCTCAATGGGGGACATAGTGTCATGGGTCTTGTGACGTGTCCAAATAAAGCCAGGCTGCAGTGAGACATCAACTGACATTGTGACACCTCTCCTACCAAATATATCACTACTTAATAAAGATGCTCTGTGACTGTCTATTCTACTCCAACACACAGCAAAGTGCACGAGAGCAGACTACATATCCTATTGTGGATAGAAAAGTGAATCCACGGTTTCACAGATCAATCAATCAATGAATCAGTACTAATTGTCATTTTCTCGCATTTATTGAGCTACACTGCCACCACGTGGTTAAATACTCAAACTCATTCTACCTCTAGCTAGCACAAGTGTAGCTACTACTGTATAGCCATTGATCTGTTATCTTGTTTGTTTTCTAACCATGACAGTTGTCTAAACATTATTTACTTACAAGATTCATTCAAACAAGCGGGAATTGACATTGAAAAGTCTGTGCGTCAAGTTCTACCTACCTAGAAAACATTATCTGAAGTCTGCCCTGTTAATATGTCGGATATTTTCCATGTTTATAAAATCACTTCGATGTAAACGATTTAAGTAAACTTACCTGCTATATCGTGAATTTCCAGCTGTATAACTTCACATGCGTTCTGCTGCGTTCTCGAACTCCAGCACAATGGCCAAGTCACATGCATCCTTCAAATTAATTAGGCCTCAACTCTGAATGCGTCCTGCAAGAAAAAAACTCACCGGGAGCGTGATGTATTAAATTGAATTTATTAGAAGATACTTTTTTTTTACACAAAGGCCCTTTTATAGTCTACTTAGAATGCACTCTGATGCTGAAAAAAAAAAACCGAAGAACAAACTGTTAAAAACTTGATTTTATTATTAAAGAGATGACAGGATGTTTGCGTCCATAGCATTTAATTACTATACATCTGTGCTATACAATGGACAGGATCTACAGACAGAGGTCTTCGGTAGTATCCTCTCTTGGCACGCCCTGATGAGAACTTGTGTTGGGAAAAGAAAGACCGGAACCTTCTTGGAGGGGTTAAAACACCAAAGGGTGCATCTCTATCTCTGGTTGCATCTCAAATGGCACCGTATTATGTAGGGAATAGGGTGGCCATTTAGGACGCATTCAATAACTTAATTGCCTCATCTCCTTTCCTTTATCTGCTCTGTTGACAGGCCAATGAAAGCAAGTCCTGGTAGGCATCTTCCATATCGCTTTCAGATCAGTGAAAAGGGAAGGGAGGAGAGGAGGCCACTTCTGACTATTGAGATGCACCCGACTACTACAGTATACTCTGTCATAGGAGGGTTTTCAAAGGCTAGTTATGTCACCATAGAGTTACCATTCCACTCGAAGCTTCTTCAAGGTTTATTGTCGCAGTATGACAAAAGTATTTTCCCAGGTTTGTCCGAGTAGTCAGGAGAGAAAAGTGGCATAACTAGGGTGCAACACGTTTGACAAATCTGTCTTGTACAATTAAGGAATTGAGCTGCTTCAACATGACAGTTTGACATGCAGAACAGAGGCCACAGTCTGCAAGGAGAATCAAGAGAAACCCAGTTAAATAATACAAAACACTAATAAAACAATAAGGTCTGTCAGTCTTAGTGGCTGTGGGCATTGTTTTTGAATCTCTTTAGAGGTGGGTGGGAGCCTGCTGTGTTGGTGCCATCATACAGTTGTTATAAACAGCTATAACAGTGTTTATTAACAGTTATAAAACACACCGCAGACTTTAAGACACAGGTATGAAAAAGAAACAAACATCAGTAATAAAAACTAAACAAAATTCAAATATTCACAGAACATGTAAACAAACCAATCAAATCAAGAAATTCTGTTCATTATCAAATGTACAATATGAATTTCACACGGTGATGGTAGCCTATCAGACACCTCGAAGAGGTGAGGGTGAAAACACAGCTGGAAGCTGGAGGCAGAATACTAAAATGACAGGCTTCTAAAACCATATCTCCCTAGAGGGGACTGTGAAAGAGTGGGAAACGTGGATGTGTGTGTGTGTATGTGTATGGTGAAATTGAATTGTGTGTGTGTGTGTGTGTGTGTGTGTGTGTGTGTGTGTGTGTGTGTGTGTAATTTGCCAATGACATTGGGGGAGGAGGCAGGGTTTCAAAATGTTCTGTTGTTTGTTTATGTCATAGTGAAATGTATCCCAGTTAGCCCTATTTGTCTTGAGGTGTTAAATTGCAGGGCCAAATGGAATCTGTGAAGTCACCACCTTTACTGCGTTCAAGACAACTGGGAACTCTGGAGAAAAAAGACGAGGTCAAATCATGACGTAAGTGATCTTCAGGTCGGAAAGCCAGAGCTCTAGAAAGAGGCCAGTGCTTCCGACTTGGAATTCCGAGTTGGATGACCGTTCAAAACGATTTTCCCCAGTTGGAGCTAGATTTTTTCCGAGTTCCCAGTTGTCTTGAACGCACTGAAGTCGGAGATTTCCGAGTTCCCAGTTGTTTTGAAAGTGGCATTATCTCGAACCTGGCCCTATTATGATGTCATCACAAAAGATTCTGTCTGGCTCTTTGTGATGTCAATGTTCTGTCTGGTTCTATTATGTCATCAGATTCCATCTAGCCCTACTGTGATGTCATCACAACAGATTTAGTCTGGCCCTATTGTGATGTCATCTACATGTCATATATAAATACTATCAAGGCAGATTTCATGTGGCTCTGTCCCTATGTTGTGACATGGTGGTGTGCGTCAGGTCATATGTTGGAGGGCCGTCGGCCCCTGGTGGCACCCAGTGAGGCCCTCAGACGGGGGTCTCTGGCCCGGTAGTGCTCGTTGAAGTCCAGTCTGAAGCTGAGGAAGCGCAGGCTCTCGTCTGGACTGGTCATTATCAGCACCAGGAACTGCTGCACTATGCCCTGAGAAGGAGCACAACCAACCACAGATATTATACACTGAACACTACCACAGACAACCAGACTGTCCTATCCACTGAACACTACCACAGACAACCAGACTGTCCTATCCACTGAACACTACCACAGACAACCAGACGGTCCTATTCACTGAACACTACCACAGACAACCAGACGGTCCTATTCACTGAACACTACCACAGACAACCAGACGGTCCTATCCACTGAACACTACCACAGACAACCAGACAGTCCTATTCACTGAACACTACCACAGACAACCAGACGGTCCTATCCACTGAACACTACCACAGACAACCAGACGGTCCTATCCACTGAACACTACCACAGACAACCAGACTGTCCTATCCACTGAACACTACCACAGACAACCAGACGGTCCTATTCACTGAACACTACCACAGACAACCAGACGGTCCTATTCACTGAACACTACCACAGACAACCAGACGTCCTATCCACTGAACACTACCACAGACAACCAGACTGTCCTATCCACTGAACACTACCACAGACAACCAGACGGTCCTATCCACTGAACACTACCACAGACAACCAGACTGTCCTATCCACTGAACACTACCACAGACAACCAGACGGTCCTATCCACTGAACACTACCACAGACAACCAGACGGTCCTATCCACTGAACACTACCACAGACAACCAGACGGTCATACTGAAAGCCACTGTAGCAGTGAGGAGAGAGTAAGACCCATACCTGGTAGAAGTGTGTTAGTATCCGTAGCTGAGAGCGCATTTTTGGTATGGTCTCCTGGAACTCCTGGATCCTCCTGTTCTCCTCTGCCTCCTGTTCAGCCGTCACACCCCACTCACCCTGAAAGCACACAGACAGGCAACATTAGAGGTGTCAAGTTTCAGAAGGAACGTTGTTGCATGCAACAGCATCAGTGTGGTATCAGAGTTGCCAGTGCCATCTCTTCACTTCAGTAAATGGGTAACTCTAAACACCCATACTGAACTGTTACAGATTCCCGTTCTATGACCCCAGCATTCTCCCCACAGAGACACGACCTTCTTCTCTACTCACATACTTCTCATTCATGTCAACACACACTCAACGCCCAATATTTAATGTTGATATAAAATCAAATATCCCCCATCCCTGACCAACAGCTTCTGTCACCCCAAACCCTCTTACCCTGGACCTCAGTCTTATTTACAAGCTATTAAAAGGGAAACTTGGCAAACGCAGAGGCTGTGTTTGTTTTTATATCACTTAGAGTTTTAACGGTCTGATGCTCAGGGCCTGTTAAATCAATAGAATGACAACAACAACAGCGTGGCCAATGGCTATTAAGAGGGAACTTGAGTTGGCCCCTGGCTGGGTTCCAGATGACTTAGACAGGAAACAAACAGGACATTGGATGGGACACTGGGACTCTGGGAAGGCTCTACATTGCACTCTATAACTAAAAGTTATCATCATTATAAGTACTTGAATTGGGCCGGTACCCACCGGTACAGAATACCGACACCTCAAATGTTCTACTGCTTAAGTACCGGCACCTCTTATAGAATATTGGCATAAAAATATAAACAGTGAAGGCACCCAGAATGAGTACCGGCACCTATTTCAGTCCACTTCAAGCCCTGATCCTTCTACCTCAGCATCCCTCTGCTTCTTCCGCTCCTCATACTGCAGCCGCAGGGTGAGCTCCCCCAGGGCAGAGCGGTACAGAGAGTCCTGGGCACTCTGGAACTCTATGATCTGGTCAAAGATGGCCCTCAGCTGGTTCAACAGGGACTGGAGAGAGGGGAGAGAAAAACATTTGAGATTAGATTCGTTTATTAGTCACATGCACAGGGGTCCCAGATATAATAGCTGGGTACAGGGACATTCTTAAAGGGATACTTCGGGATGTTGGCAATGATGCCCTTTATCTACTTCCCCAGAGTCAGATGAACTCGTAGATACCATTTGTATGTCTCTGCGTGCATTTTGAAGGAAGTTGCTAACTAGCGCTAGCGCAATTCGCTAACACTAGTTAGCATTGGGTCACAAAACTACCTCTAACTCCCTTCATATTGGACACAGAGACATAGAAGTGGTATCCACGAGTTCATCTGACTCTGGGGAAAAATAGATAAAGGACCTCATTGCCAAAATACAGAAGCATCCCTTTAAGCTCCAACAGTGCAGGTCAAAGAGAAGTGGATGTCAGCAAGTGTCTGTTAGAGTGTATGCGCATACGTGTGTGTCTCACCCTGCTGTTGGTGTCCAATAGGCAGCGGGAGATGACAGAGTCTAAGAATCCTTCGTGGGCAGCGATGATGTGGTCTAGATCCTGGGCCTTCTCTACCTTGTTCCACAGCTCATCCCAACAACACTCCAGCACCTGTACACACACACACACACACACACACACACACACACACACACACACACACACACACAACACACACAACACACACATAAGGGAGGAGGGAGAGTGTGAGAGAAGAGAGTGAAGGAGCCCAGTGGTCTCTAGATAAATGAATGGAAAGTACGGCCCCTGACCTCGAAGGTGATGTAGTACTGCATCTGGTGGATGAAGTGGACCATCTCATTGGCCAGGATGTGGCACTGGTGCAGCACGCCAGACAGCTCTGTAACACAACATCTAACATGTTACCCTGGCTGCCTTATCTACAGCTCTGTAACACAACATCTAACATGTTACCCTGGCTGCCTTACCTACAGCTCTGTAACACAACATCTAACATGTTACCCTGGCTGCCTTACCTACAGCTCTGTAACACAACATCTAACATGTTACCCTGGCTGCCTTATCTACAGCTCTGTAACACAACACCTAACATGTTACCCTGGCTGCCTTATCTACAGCTCTGTAACACAACACCTAACATGTTACCCTGGCTGCCTTATCTACAGCTCTGTAACACAACATCTAACATGTTACCCTGGCTGCCTTATCTACAGCTCTGTAACACAACACCTAACATGTTACCCTGGCTGCCCTACCTACAGCTCTGTAACACAACATCTAACATGTTACCCTGGCTGCCTTATCTACAGCTCTGTAACACAACACCTAACATGTTACCCTGGCTGCCCTACCTACAGCTCTGTAACACAACATCTAACATGTTACCCTGGCTGCCTTATCTACAGCTCTGTAACACAACATCTAACATGTTACCCTGGCTGCCTTATCTACAGCTCTGTAACACCCAAAACCTAACATGTTACCCTGGCTGCCTTTCCTACAGCTCTGTAACACAACATCTAAAAATGTACCCTGGCTGCCTTATCTACAGCTCTGTAACACAAGACCCTAAACATGTTACCCTGGCTGCCCTACCTACAGCTCTGTAACACAACATCTAACATGTTACCCTGGCTGCCTTCTACAGCTCTGTAACCACAATATCTAACATGTTACCCTGGCTGCCTTATCTACAGCTCTGTAACACAACATCTAACATGTTACACTGGCTGCCTTATCTACAGCTCTGTAGCACATGACTCCCTCTGCTGGAGGTGAGAGGGAACTGCATGGTAGTGTGTGTATGTTGCCTCACCTGGCATGCTCTTGAGCAGCTTGGCGTTGCACATCTGTCCCTTCCAGATGTCGGTGAGGATGTACTCCATACGCTTGGCTCGCCACAGGAAGTTGAACACCCGCAGGTAGTGGCTCATGCACTCCCGCGTGAACACCTGTCACAGCCAGAACCAGCAAGAGAAACAGAAAGCAAGAAGAGAGAGAGACAAAGGAGAGAGAGAGAGAGACCGTGTGAACACCTGTCACAGGGTAGCACAACATTTACACCTGTTCTCTCGCCACCTCACCTCACAGAACACAACCAGCCAGCACTTGACTTCATCTAACATGGTTGACTGGTGGCCTGTGAATGAACATGTACAACAGAGCAGAAAGAAACATGCTTCTGTTGCTCCAGGTGGGCTTTATGGATGAATGGAGAGAGAAGAGGAGAAGGTTTTTTGATAGTTTGCGAGGATGCATGTGTGTGGGAGAGAGAGAGAGATATAAGGCAACACCAGATAAGATGGTATGTGTATGTATGTAAAGTGGTGTGGTTACCGTGGCGATAGGTCCCTCTACGTGGTAGTCTAAACTGAAGACGTCCCAGCCCGTATCCCCGGGAGACACCTACAGAAGGAGCACAGATGGGTTGATGACTTGGCTTTAGTTCAGAGGGATAACATTATGCCGAGTTGACAGTTTGAAACCCAGTAGGTAACAGGGACACGTGTACATCCAGCATCCAGAAATCAACCATCTAGGCTTTAGCTCAGAGGGCTAACACGGTGTCGAGTCACGGGTTTGAAACACAGCCTGGTAACCTGTGACTCGAGACCGTGTTAGCTCACTGAGCTAATGCCTATGATAGTAGTAACGGTATCAGCTGTAGCCTATGATAGTAGTAACGGTATCAGCTGTAGCCTGATAGTAGTACCGGTATCAGCTGTAGCCTATGATAGTAGTAACGGTATCAGCTGTAGCCTATGACATAGTAGTAACGGTATCAGCTGTAGCCTATGATAGTAGTAACGGTTATTAGCTGTAGCCTATGACAGTAGTAACGGTATCAGCTGTAGCCTATGATAGTAGTAACGGTATCAGCTGTAGCCTATGATAGTAGTAACGTTATCAGCTGTAGCCTATGACAGTAGTAACGGTATCAGCTGTAGCCTATGATAGTAGTACTGTATCGCTGGAGCCTTGCTAGTAGAACGTTACACTTACCCTGTGTAGTAACATCACTGTAGCCAATGTTAGTAAACGGTTCAGCTGTAGCCTATTATTAGTAAGGGTATCAGCTGTACCTAGATAGTGTAACGTTATCGCGTAGGATAGTAGTAACGGTATCACTGTACCTTTGAAAGTGAAAACGGTATCGTGTAGCCTGTATAGTAATTTATCAGCTTGCCATGATAGTGTAACGGTATCACTGTACCTGATAGTGTAACGGTATCACTGTAGCCTATATAGTAGTCGTTTCAGCTGACTAGACAGTAGAACAGATCACTAAACCCAATAAGTGGGTTTTATCAGTGTAGTTTTGACAGTTAACGGTATATTTTAGCCTGATGTAGAAGGGTTCAGCTGTCCCTAGATAGTGTAACTATAGCGTCCCTATGACGTGTAACATATCAGTGAAGCCTATGAATAGTAAGGTATCACTGTAGCTTTGCGAGTAACGGGAGTTTGTGCCTGATGTAGTCGGTATGAGGTAGCCTTAAAGTAAAAATTTCGCTGTAGCCAGACGTAGTAAGGTATCAGCGTAGCCTATTACAGTAGGATCAGCTGTAGCCTGTAGTAGTAACGTTACAGCTGTCCCCATGCAGTGTAAGGGTATGAGCGTACCCTATGATAAAAAGGGTACAAGTAGCCTATGACATTAGAAAAGGAAAAGCGGAGCCTAGTAGAGTAAGGTTCAGCTGTCCCCATGTTTGTAGTAAGGATACTGACCTATGAAGTGGGAAAATTTTATCAGCTGTAGCCTAGATAGTAGAACGTTTCAGCGTGCCATGATATAGTAACGTTATCAGCTGTAGCCTATGATAGTAGTAAGTTACAGCGTAGCCTATGATGTAGAAACTTTATCATTACCTAGATAGTAGTAACTTATCAGCGTACCTTTGATAGTGTAAGTTTCAGCTGTGCCTATGATGAAAACCGGTATCAGCTGACCCTGTGTAGTAAGGGTTTCACGTAGCCAGACAGTAGAAGGGTTCAGCTGTCCCTTGACAGTAGAAAGGGTATGACTGTAGCCCTATGATAGTATAACGGATCAGAGTACCCAAAATGAAGTAATTAACTTTTATAAAACCCATGATAGTGTAACGGTACGCGTAGCCTAGACTATAAGGGTTATGAGCTTACCCTAATATAGAAACGGTTCAGCGGTACCAGATTAGTAAGGGTATCAGTTTATACCCTGTGTAAAACGGTATCACTGTACCTTGACAGTTAAGGGTATAGCTGTAGCCTATATGATAATGGTATCACTGTAGCCTATGACAGTAGTAAATCAGCTGTACCTATGAAAGAAAGGGTATCGGGGTTTTGTCTATGTAGTATAAAGGGTTCACTGTACCCTTGTAGTAGTAAGGGATCAGGTAGCTATGTATTTAAAAGGATCAGTTACCCTTGATGTAGAAACGGTATCACTGTAGCCTGAATAGTAAGGGGTTATCAGCGTACCCTATGACAGTTAACGATCACTGTGCCTATATGAAACTTTATAGCTGACCCCTTGATAGTAAAGTTACACTGTAGCTATTTAGTATTTAACTTATCATCTGTACCTATGATATTAAACTTATCGCTGTATCCTATGATGTGTAACGGTATCAGCTGTAGCATAGTAGTAACGGTATAGGTAGCCTATACAGTAGAAACGGTATCACTGTACCCGAAGTAAACGGTACAGCTGTAGCTATGATAGAGTAAGGTATAGCTGTAGCATATGAAGTATAACGGTATCACGAGCGTAGTAGAACAATCAGCGTACCCTTTATAGTTAATGGTATCAGCGTGCCTATGACAGTAGTAAGGGTTCACTGTACCTTGTAGAAAAACGTTACAGCTTAGCCATGATAAAGTAATTATAGTGTAGCCTATGTAGGTAACGTTTCATTGTGCCTATGATAGTAGAAACGTTACGGGTTACCCATATAGTAAAAACGGATCAGCTGACCCTGATAGTAGAAGGGGATCACTGACCCTATCAGTAGTAAGTTGGCTGTGCCTATTTTAGTAGAAACGGTATCCCTGAGCTATGATAGTAGTAAGGTATCAGTGTACCTAATAGTTAACGGATCAGCTTTAGCCTGTAGTAGTAACGGTTCAGCTTAGCCTATGACAGTATAAGTTACAGTGAGCCTATGATAAGTAATTTATCCTGTAGCCTATGTAGTAGTAACGTTATCGTTACCCAGATGTAGTAACGTATCCGTAGCCTATGAAGATACGTTATAGTGTAGCCTTGATAGTGAAAGGGTATCACTGTGTGAATATAACGGTTAGTGTAGCCTAGACAGTAGTAACGGTTCACGTAGCGATAGTAGTAAGGGTTTTCCACTTTCCTAGATAGTAAAAGGGTATAGCGTAGCATTGATAGAGTACGGTATCAGCGGAAAGCCGTAGTTTTAACGTATCATTTTTACCCTTTGACATATAAGGGTACACGTAGCCTATGATAGTAAACGTTATCAGCTGTGCCTATATATATTTTAAACTTTTATACTGTAGCCTTGATAGTAAAAAGTTATATTGTACTATAAAGTGTAACGTTTCAGCTGTACCCCATGAGTAGTAAGGGTTCAGCTGTACCTGATATAGTAACGGTACGCTTACCCTATACGTATAAGGTATGACTGAAACCTATAAGTAGAAGGGTTTATAGTTAGCTATGAAGTAGTAAGTTATAGCTGTACCCTTGATGTAAACGGTTCAGCTGTACCTAGACTAAAAGTATGACTGTAGCCTATGTTGTAGTACGGATCAGCGTAGCTATGACGTGAACGGTATAGCTGTAGCCTATGTATAGTAACGGATCAGTGTACCCCTTGACGTATAACGGTATGAGCTGTAGCCTATGAAGTAGTAACGGTACAGCTTGCCATACGTGTAAAGGGTACCCGCGTAGCCTATGATAGTAAAACGGTAGCTGTACCCTGATGAGTAATGGATAGCTTGTAGCCTAACATAGTAACGGATGAGCGTACCCTAATAGAAAGTAACGGTAGAGTGGCCTTTTATAGTTAATGGTTCACTGTAGCCTATACCGTATTAAAGGTTTTATCGCTTTTAGCCTATGACAGTAGTAATGTATCAGTGTGCCTTGCCTTGTAACGGACAGTTACCCTATGAAGTAGAACTATCAGCTGTACCATGATAGTAAAAGGTTCAGTGTAGCCATAAGTATAATGGATCACTTTACCCATGATATAGAACGGTATCGCTGTAGCCTATGACTAGTAATGGTATCAGCTGTACCCTATGATATTAAACTTTTTTTATACGTAGCACCCTCCACAGGCGTACGTCGTTTTGGGGATCTCACGTTGTCAACTGACTTTGGGGGCCTACGGCCTCCCAGGATGCCTGTCAGGTTTTGGGGTTTGGGAAGGTGGGGCTGGGGGCCAGCTTGGTCTAAGGAAACAAAACAAAGGGTCAATAAAATTGAATTATATGGGGTGGTGTGTGTTTTTGTGTTGTCCCCATTTTGTTTGTCTGTGTGTTACCTGGTTTTGGGGGTTTGTGACCCCGGTGTGTGTATCCATCTGTGTGTGTGTGTACTAACTTGAGCAGGTCCATGAGGTGGCGTATGAAGTCTCCCTGGCCCAGCAGCAGGTATCGTCTCATGGCCTGCAGGTGCTCCCAGCGGGGATTTTGGGTTTTGAGGACTTCAGCAGGTATTTTGTGGTCCAAAGTAGGTGCATCTTTTTCCCCCGGGAAACCCCCCCCCAGGTTGAAAAGTCTGAGCTACAGAGGAGAGGGGAGAGAGAGAAAGAGAGGAGGGGGGAGAGAGAGAGAAAGAAAAGGGGGGGGGAGAGAGAAAAAGAGGGGGGGGAAAAAAAAAGGGGAGGGAGAAAAAGAGGGGGGAGAGAGAAAGAGAGGTGGGGAAAGGGAAAAGAGAGGGGGGAGAGAGAGAGGAGGGGGGGAAGAGGAAAAGAGGGGAGGAAGGCGAGAGAGAGAAAGGGAGGAGGGGGAGGGGGAGAGAAAAGAGGGAGGGGGAAAGAGGAAAAAGGAGGGGGGAGAGAGAAAAGAAAGGGGGGGGAAGGGAAAAAAAGGGGGGAGAAAGAGGGGAGAAAAAGAGAGGGAAAGAGAAAAAGGGGGGAAGAGAAGAGGGGGTAAAAAAAAAAAGAAGGAGGGGGCCAAAAGGGGGGGGGGAAAAAAAGGGGGGGGAGAAGAAAAAAAAAAAACCAAAAAAAAAAAAAAAAAAAAGGGGGGAGAAAAAAAAGGGGGGGAAAAAAAAAAAAAGGGGGGGGGGAGAGGAAAAAGGGGGGGGGGAAAAAAGAAAAAAAAAAAGGGAAAAAAAACCAAAAGGGGGAAAGGAAAAGGGGGAGGGGGGAAGGACAAAAAAAAGGGGAGGGGGAAAAAAAGGGGGGGGGGGGGGGGGGGGGGGGGGGGGGGGGGGGGAAGGAGGGGGGGGGGATTTTTATTTGTTGTATTGGGTACTGGAGTTGGCACTACCTGGTGCATATTAAACTAATCTCTCAGACAGTTTGCTGAACTCTGTATCTACAACTCAAGATAGTCTACGTCCCAAATATCACCCTTATTCTCTTTATAGTGCACTACCTTTGACCCATAAGGTTCTGGTCAAAAGTAGTGCACTATGAAGGGAATAGGGTGCCATTTGGGACGCAGACACAAGGTTAAAAACACAACCCAACCCAACCCAACCCAATCCCACTTCCAACGCCAGTCAGTGTGCAGTCATTCCCCTCAAGGACGAGGCTAAGGAACGAACAGTGAGAGCATTGATCATCGACGGAGAGAGGAGTGAGACTAAATCCAGTCGATACAACAGTAAGTACCATAACAATAGAATCAGGTCTGATGCCTCTCTAACAGAAACAGATCAATGCAGCTCTGCTCTCACTACCTACAAAACACTACTATGGCAAGAACAAGGCTTCTGTACTCTTAACGAAAGACACTGCCTGCACAATACACACTCGCTGAAGGTATATTATAATGTAAAAGCGTGTACCAAACACCAAATGCCAGTGTTGTATTGAGCTAGCCACTGACAGGCCCCTTTCACAGTGTGTTGGTTGGGGGAGAGAGGACAGAGAGCGTACCATCTTTGGGGGAGTCTGTAGACTTGGAGGCCGGGGTGATTTTCCCTGGTGAGGTTCTGTCATGGCACACCTGATGCAGGAAGTTAATGGACTTTCCAATGAGCAAGTGAGCAGAACCTACAGAGACAGAGAGAGAGAGAGAGAGAGAAGAGAGAGAGACAGAGACAGAGAGAGACAGAGACAGAGAGAGACAGAGAGAGAGAGAGAGACAGAGAGAGACAGAGAGACCGAGAGAGAGAGAGACAGAGCAAAATTACATGAGAATGTTTGTATTATTTACATTGAGGATGAGATAATTGGTGTTTGTGTGTTGTGTGTGTGTGTGGTGTGTGTATGTGTGTGTGTGTCTACCTTGCGGGCCTGGTCCATGGTGATGAAGGTGGGTATCATGGACTTCCTCAGTGAGTACTTGTCGTGCCACAGTCTGTCTGTCTTCACCGTTGGGTCAGATGCCACAAAGAACTGCAGGGAGAGGAATCACCATCATTATTCAACACCATCATCATCATCACACCTTAAAAGACAGAACTCAACTATATTCAAACAACACAGGAGATGATTACAACAATGGATACTTATTACAGTAATGGAAAGAAAGTGAATGGTTGTTCCATCTTTCAATAATAGATCTTGATCTTCATTGAGCCAGTGGTTCAACTTGGAAACCAAAATGGATGCCGATAAATAGACATCAGTGTTAGAAGGTGAAGACTTCTCTCCTAGGGGGCACAACAAGGGGGATTGATGTCTTTCATGTTTCAGCCGTTCCATTCCATCCAGAGGTCATGATGAGTGTTTACAGTCTAACACCACCTCCCAGCTGCCCCCTGGGCTGACAGATGTGCCTGTAAGCTGCAGAGCTATCCCCTAATTCCCCTCTGCTGGGAAGGAACAGCTCCATAACTATCACTTAGCCCTGCTACAGGAGGGTCAATACAGGGAGCTTAAATGCAGTGTGCCCTTTGAAGCGTTCCCTTCTGAGAATAGCCCGGCGGTTGATCTTGAAAGCCGCTACAACACGCCTGTGCTCTGTGATCGCCCAATCAGCACTTAGTCTCAGGTGGACTGGGTCTGAGAGGGCGATTCAGCGGCAGGTGCATTAGGACCAGATTCACGGTCTTCTACTGTCCCTGTGGTTGTGGAGAAAGAGAGATGGATGGAGAGCTAGGACAGAGATGGGAGAGGAGAGAGAGGAGGGCGGAGGCCATCACTCAGTTCCCCATTACCGTCCTCTCATCCATCCTCATTTGGGAGGCCGCCCTACCCCTCCCCCCTCCCTTTTCCCCCCCCTCCCCCCTCCCCCCCCCCTCCCCCCCTCCCTCACTCCCCTCCATCTCAGCTCGGAAATTAACCTGTCTGACGTCTGTCTGAGTCCACTTCAGCCTTAGCTTAGCTACTACCATCCTGACTCCGACCTTGACAAACTAATGGAAGTGTGTGTGTGTGTTTATTATATATATTTGGTGTGTGTATTATATATATGGTGTGTGTGCGTCACCTCGTGGTAGGTGTCCTCCAGCTCTCCGTCGTAGATCCAGCGGTAGAGGAAGTTGAGGATGGGATGTGACACCAGGCTGAGGATGTGCTGCACCAGAGCTCTCATCTGAGGGTCCCCTGTCTTCCCATAGGCATGGACCGCTGACGCCAGCTCACCTCCCTTCCTCCCTATACACACACACACACAAAACGGACACATTTGAACCATACACGCACTATTTAAATGAATACTTCAATGGTACCAACCAGCAGGCGCCCCACACACACACAGCTCTACCTTGGCAAAAGTCGACGAGGGCAGCCAGGGTTTTGAGTCGGAGTTTAGGGTCGTAGGTCCAGACTAGGAGACGTCTGAGGGTCAGACTGTTCTCCACTCCCAGGTTCACTCCCTGGTCGTCCTCCACCTGCAACTGTCACACACCTTTATATGTCCTGTAGCCTACCAGTGTTTTTCCTCTTGAAGGGTTCTAAACTAAATGCATTCACTTGAATAAGGCGGTACAGTGTTTTGAGAGGTAGAGAAAGGTGTGTGTGTGTGTGTGTGTGTCTTACCTGTGAGTGCAGCACTGCCAGAAGTCTGTAATATTCTTTCAGTTCCTGATGCAGGGAGGCACAGAAGCTCTGTCCCACCAGGCCGAAGGCTCGGTCCAGGCTGCGAGAGTCAGTGTACTTCCTGATCTTGTTGTGGAGCCAGCCCAGCTCAGCCAATCGGCTACTGGTGTCCCTCAGAGACTTACAGAGCACCACCTAGGGACACACTGGAGGAGTTACAACAGGAGAACACACACACACAGGCATTGGATAGATCGCCATAAGCAAAAATACAGGGAATACTGCGAATATCTGTCATCTTTTAGTATGTAACCCATTTAATCTGTGAAGTGGTTGCCAGGTTGGTAGTTAGTTATCCCCCTGTGGCAGAGTACCATCTGTTCTGTATGGCTCCCCACAAACACGACACACACCGACACTCACAAGAGGAAAACGGGCCACTCCTGCTGCCAGGTTACCATTCGGTCACTCACACACACGTACGCCACAACCCTTAGGGTTGACATGACTACAGCAACACCAAAGGAACAGCAATTCTGCTCGTCAGCCCAGAAACATGAATAGGAACACATCAGCCGTATTATTACAGAGCTCTTTGCCAGTTGGAGGACCATTCCAATTCCAGTTTCATCTCTTTCACACCAGTTTGTTCAGAATTCACTTCCCCTTTTTAAAACGGTAGTCAGAGCGGCCCTGGTTTCACAGATTGAAGACATTTGGCAAGAAGCCTGGAGCCCAAACTGTCTGCAGTCTCTCTCAGTCTCTGCTGAGTCTTGTGAGGACCAGGTTTTGATACTCACCTTCTCTCCTTTAATAAAACATTACTGTCTCTAATAATGTTCAATTTCTGTATTCTGTTCTAATTTCATTATGGAAAGCCACATTATTCTGGAAACCGTGTGAGACTGAATAGGACTTATAGCGTAGATCATGACTTCAAAAAGACCTTAGGAATCATCCTTGACGGCTAGATTTGGCTCGAGGGTTCTCGTCCGATACAGTGCTCCTAGGCCAGCGCATTGACAGCAGGCTATATATAACACTGAGAAGATGTATAGCTAAGATGGGTCAACTGTAATTTGTAGGAATATTAGAAGGGAGGCCAGTTGTGATGAATGCTTGATGGGTGATAGAGGGAAGCCATCGATGTGGCTCCTAACCAAAGAGCCAACTATTGATCTGTTGAGCTTTTTACCCCTTTTAGAAACAGATCATCAGCCTTGATGTCAGCAGCACTACAGCTGAATCTGAAACGCTGTCGGTCGGCCGGTTCCACAACAGCCATGACGTCAGGGAGAGAGCTAGCGATGAAACAGGGTAGTCTGTCAATAACTGGTCTAGCTAGTATAGACGGAAGTACGGCGCTGTCTCCATTTGACATTTTAGTCATTTAGCAAGACGCTCTTATCCAGAGCGACTTACAGGAGCAATTAGGGTTAAGTGCCTTGCTCAAGGGCACAGACAGATTTTTCACCTAGTCAGCTCGGGGATGCAAACCAGAGATTTTCGGCTGCTGGCCCAACGCTCTTAACCGCTAGCCTATCTGCCATGGTGTCTAAACACAACATGTTGACTAACTCTAACCTTAACTTATACACAGTTTACAAAACATTAGGAACACCTGCTCTTTCCATGACATAGACTGACCTGGTGTATCCAGGTGAAAGATATGATCCCTTATTGATGTCACCTGTTAAATCCACTTCAATCAGTGTAGATGAAGGGGAGGAGACAGGTTAAAGAAGGATTTTTAAGCCTTGAGACATGGATTGTGTATGTGTGCCATTCAGAGGGTGAATGGGCAAGACAAAATATTTAAATGCCTTTGAACGGGGTATGGTAGTAGGTGGCAGGCGCACCGGTTTGTGTCAAGAACTGCAACGCTGCTGGGTTTTTCACACTATACAGTTTCCCATGTGTATCAAGAATGGTCCACCACCCAAAGGACATCCAGACAACTTGACAACTGTGGGAAGCATTGGAGTCAACATGGGACAGCATCCCCGTGGAACAAAAGGGGGTGCAACTCAATATTAGGAAGGTGTTCCTAATGTTTTGTACACTCTGTGTAAGGTCAAATAGCTTATGTAGTTGGTCATCAGTTTTTGCATTTGTCAGGGAAACATTTCAGGAACAAGGGGCACGAATAGGTTGAAGTACCAAAGGCAAATTGGCATGGACATTGTTCACGTATGACTGAATGTTTGAGTCACCTTGGAGTCGATCTTGTAGCAGTTGTCTGTGTTGCTCATCTTAATGAACTTGCCGTCGATCCCCTGGAAGACATACAGGATGTCTCGGACCAGCGCAGCCTCACCAACCTCCGCTGGAGAAGAAGAACGAGGGATTCAGAAAAACAACAAAAAGTAGAGGACAACATTTATCATGAAAGCCATTAAAAGTTCTCTCTCTCTGTCTATCTATTTAATTCAGCCCCAACCCTGTCAGTGGAGTGCCAAGACAGATTCTATCTTAAATACCGGGAGAGCAACTAGACGTTTATGAAATGAAGTGATTATGTGAGGTGGTGCTTACTGCAGAACAGGAACATTTCATTGCAGACTTTGACAATTTCCCTCCGAACGAATCTCTTTCTGTTTAATATTGAGCATTGCAGAGCCACCATTACAGTAGAGGACCCTGCCCATCTTCTGCCTACATTACAAAATCACCTCCAACTGTGAAGCATGTCCCAACAAGGCCATGTAGTTTCATGCACAAAAAGTAGGCCTATACATCCCAACTCACCAGTGGGGTCCCCGTCGCGGCGTGGCCTGGGGGCCCGGGTGGACAGGGCTGGGGGGCCGAGTGGGGCCCGTGAGGTAGGTGCCAGGGCGGAGGTGTTGGGGAGAGCCCACGCCAGCCGAGAGCCCAGCTGCTGCCCTGCTGTCTGGGGTGGGTGCCTGGAGAGAGCACACATACAAAATGGTCCATTAAACATTTCTATGTTTACATCCATGTAACTATAGACATTTTTCCTCCCCCTCGACATGCATAACTCTTCCCCTATACATGTTGGTTCTCCTAATGCAAACTGTCTTGTAGGACCATTACCAACCCCTGGGGTCAGTGCTAATAGCCTGCTAATGAGGGACTCTTGCCTTTCAACAGCAGAGAATGGCTTTAGAGTCATGACACTGTAGCAATGCCTCAGCTCCAAATGACTTTTATAGTGTTGATGATGTTCCAGTCAAACACCCACTAACCAGATACTTACCCTGGCACTAGAAGAGTATAGCCAGACTAATTATACACAAGTGCTGCTGGGGATGTGGAGAAGGACATACATAATTGATGCTCACAACAGAATGAAAATGCCCTGCTACAACAAATGGGTACAAAGACAATGCATTTTTCCAACAAGTCCTACTAATTTAAGATCCCTTTATATTCTAAAGGTTCATCGGTTATGCAGGTACAGTGCTGAGCTAGAACAAAAGCATGCACTCCCTGCGAGTCCACAGGAACAAGATTGAAGAAAGTCTAGTGTCATGTATGACTGACTATGGAGTCCTGGGTGCTGACCAGACAAACAGGGTTCCATCAAATGGTCTTACCCGGCCAGCAGGGGCTGAGGGGTGGGTGTGGGCCCGTTGAGGGAGTACACCCCCAGGCTGCTGATGCCACTGGTGCCCATGCTGGTGGAGATCTGGGCGGCCCCGGGCCCCGAGCGCTCGGGGTAGCTGAGGGGCAGGCTCCCGGGCCGGGTGCAGTAGAACGGGGTGGAGTGGGCGTCCCGGGGGAGGGCCTGGGCAAACAGCGCCCCATAGCTGCCAACCTGGGAATGACATGCCATTAATAAATCAATGATGTATTAATTAAATAATCAAATGTGGAACAATATGGGACATTTAATAGAATAGCAATGCTATTTTATGGAGTTCTATGGAGCTAACATGGCTGCGATGGTATTACCGTTTGTGATGATGCAGTCTGGACGATTATAATGCTTTCATTTCCTGTATATATATATTGCTATGGTCAGTGTGTGTGCGTGTGTGTGTTGAGAGCACTGTGGTGTAATGACAGATATACCCACCCTGGACGGTTTCCTGGGGTCCTCACAGAGACTGAGCAGCAGGTATAAGACGGACCACCTGTGTTTCAGCACCCCCTGTTAATGGAACGCAAAACACACTGATTCTCAATTGGTTCTCCTTTCAAAGCTAATACAGTATGCATATGCACGGGGGTATTTGGAACAGAAGACTGACCTGAGTCTGCAGCTTTCTGTGGAGCTCAGAGAACAGGGCAGCGTCGCCCTCTCTCCTCTGCTTCAGCACTGGAGAAGCAAAGGACAGGACAGTCAGGCAAACAATATCAGACCACTAAATAAACAGACAGACCAATTCCAAAAACACAAGATGATTAAAGGGGGCTCAACTCCACTCCGCACAAGGGTAAGTAATGTTTTTTTTATTACTTTACTATGGTTAGCGATCGATAAGATGGTCATTAGTGGCACTACTCCGACTACAAACAAAATCTACTGAGATTTACTCTTATGGAGACTCTTAAACGTATTTATTTATTGTCAAATGTACAATACTGTCCCCTTTAACAGGAGACAGAAAGGCTCTACTGGGAAAACAACAACAACAGACCACATTAAAGGATGCATGTCTGACCAGGTAACAGAGACAGTGCAAACCAATAATGTGCAGATGCCACTTTCAACTGTCGAGATGGACCCTCAAAGTGGATTCATTCAGCAAACCTATCCAGTTTAGGTCAGTTTATTGTCTCTAATAATAGGTCACTCACATTCTTTTTTGATCTTCTCTGACACTAGGAACTCATCCCTCTCAATGGTGGGAGCATAGTTACTCCCGACGACTCTCACAGCATACTGAAACTGGTGGGCTACTTCAGCTAAAATGGGAAATAGGGTTGAGTTAAAGTACTGAGCACTGAATATCTGCTTTTCCTAAACCATATGTCACTACTAGTGAATTAATCTTACAGACTTGTTCAAAGCTTACAGACGCAGAACGTTTCCCCTCAATCACTAGCTAGCAATCTTACACTTTCTGGTAGTCACGTAAAGTGGCAAAACATGCCTTAAATCGTGCAGGCAATACCACACACATTTACATAGAAAAAAAACTAAATGTCCCTTGTCTGTCACCAATGTTTAAGAAATATATATTTGAACTTACTCTGCCGATTGTCTGTGGTGTTGGTCCTTCAACTGGTCGAAATTTGAGACAAAATATCCACAGGATTAAACCAACTTCAAAACACGGGTCTATGTGTGTGGCAATCAAGATGTGTTTGCTCATGACCGAAGGCATGTGCACATGACGGATGTACATGCACACGATGCATACTAGCAGGTGTTTACATGGTTTTGAGCATGTGCCAGATGATAGAAAATTCAACTTCAATACCTGCGCTCTAAAAGGTCAGGTAAACAATACTTTCCTGCGAATATTTTGTCTCATATTTCGAGCAGCTGAAGGACCAACTGCACAGACAACCGGTATAGTAAGTTCAAATGTAATTGTATTCAACATTCTGGCTTGTAAAGAAAATGTTCACGATTATGCAATGCTTTGTTTCAGACTGTATACCAAGAATTGGTATCAAAGTCAGATTTATCAGGCAAACTTTCTGGCAGCCTGACAAACCAAGCTAGCTATCCCTTGTTAGCTACCTCAACAAGGCGTGGTTGGACTGTTGAATGTCAACCGTATCTACAGCTACCTATATCTAGCTATGACACACTTTTGGTAGTTAGCTAGCTAGCTAACGCCTTAGATATACCCAAATAAGGGACGATCTGACGTTAGCTAGATGGCTAGATACCTGGGGCCCATTCATAGCCTACCATCTCTTGGCAAGCTAGGTGTACAGCTACTAGCTAGCCTAAGCTAACTAACTAGCATTGGCAGTGCGTTGGCTGTCACACAAACTTGACCTAACTACAAACTTAGTTAACTACTAGATGACGAGCTGAACGCTGGCATACAACTGTTATATCAGCAACACGGTTAATGTTAGCTAGCTAGCAACATACCAGGCTAGCTGCACATAACCGCGCCTGGGCTATTCTAACTAGCTAGCATCATAGCTACCTTCGCTCTTTCCAGTGATCCTGCAGCAGAGACTTTGAAGAAGGACGTTGGGGGACTTTTGATCTAGGGCAGCCATTGCGTTAGTCTATTTTATTTTCCTTATCAGACACCAGCGATACTACTGGATGCAGTTGTACCCACTACGATTGTTCTTGCTCTAGGTTTCCACTCTCAGTAACAACAGCCATTTTAACGGAACCCGCCGAAAGCGTCCTGACAGGAGGGGTTGCTAGCAAGAAGAGATGGGAAAAATGAATGAAAATATTGCCCTCCAAAACAAGGCAATGGCGCTAAAGGTTCCCATGTCAGTTGTTCCTAGCCTTCGCCCCATGCTTACGGTGGTCAAATTGTAAGCTAAGTAGAGAGCTAGTTGACTGTTCATTTTGAAATACATTTTGTATGTTCATTTTAAATTATTTTATTGGAATTAATTGCAATTAAATACAGCCTTATTGAAAGACAGTTATTTTGCATATTTGCATTTCAGAACCAGGAGAGTGGACAGCTCCCAGACTTGGGGTAAAAGGCAAGCTTTTCATGACCTTAGTAGTGGACAGCTTTCTCAATTCAATTCAATTTCAATTTAAGGGCTTTATTGGCATGGGAAACGTATGTTAACATTGCCAAAGAAAGTGAAGTAGATACTAATCAAAAGTGAAATAAACAATAAATATTAACAGTAAACATTACACTCAGAAGTTCCAAAAGAATAAAGACATTTCAAATGTCATATTATGTATATATACAGTGTTGTAACAATGTGCAAATGGTTAAAGTACAAATGGGAAAACAAATAAACATAAATATGGGTTGTATTTACGATGGTGTTTGTTCTTCACTGGTTGCCCTTTTCTTGTGGCAACAGGTCACAAATCTTGCTGCTGTGATGGCACACTGTGGTTTTTCACCCAGTAGATAAGGGAGTTTATCAAAATTGGATTTGTTTTCTAATTCTTTGTGGATCTCTGTAATCTGAGGGAAATATGTGTCTCTAATATGGTCATACATTTGGCAGGAGGTTAGGAAGTGCAGCTCAGTTTCCACCTCATTTTGTGGGCAGTGTGCACATAGCCTGTCTTCTCTTGAGAGCCAGGTCTGCCTACAGCGGCCTTTCTCAATAGCAAGGCTATGCTCACTGAGTCTGTACATAGTCAAAGCTGTCCTTAAGTTTGGGTCAGTCACAGTGGTCAGGTATTCTGCCACTGTGTACTCTCTGTTTAGGGCCAAATAGCATTCTAGTTTGCGCTGTTTTTTTTTGTTAATTCTTTCCAATGTGTCAAGTTATATCTTTTTGTTTTCTCATGATTTGGTTGGGTCTAATTGTGTTGTTGTTGTTGTCCTGGGGCTCTGTGGGGTCTGTTTGTGTTTGTGAACAGAGCCCCAGGACCAGGTTACTTAGGGGACTCTTCTCCAAGTTCATCTCTCTGTAGGTGATGGCTTTGTTATGGAAGGTTTGGGAATCGCTTCCTTTTAAGTGGTTATAGAATTTAATGGCTCTTTTTTGGATTTTGATAATTCGCAGGTATCGGCCTAATTCTGCTCTGCATGCATTATTTGGTGTTTTTCGTTGTACACGGTGAATATTTTTGCGGAATTCTGCATGCAGAGTCTCAATATGGTGTTTGTCCCATTTTGTGAATTCTTGGTTGGTGAATTCTCTCTCTCTCTCCCTCTCACAAACACACACACACACCTTTTTGATTTAAGTTTATTGTAGCCTACACGTGCCAAAATGAATTAGGCTTCATGGTCCAAAACTTTGCCATGGTGCGCTGCCATGCAATAATGGGGAATTTGCCGTTCCATTTTGTTTCTAACTAACTCTTAGTGAATGCAACAGTTTTGTGAATTAGTTAAGCGATTCTGCTGAGAAAAGACATGATAATGCATGCCCGACCGAAACTGATACATTCCCCTAGGCATGTGTGTGACACTAGAGCGCGCAAGCGCTTACGGCTCCCAGTGACGTAGCCTATGATGGAAGAAAAACTGTTCTTTCCCACAACGTAGAGCCAAGAAGATTACTGGCGCGAGGAAGGTGAGAAAGAGAAGACAGGAGAAGAAAAAGAAGACGCTACTTCTGACTAGAAAGAAGTAGGCGACTTTGCGTCTGAAACATTAGGGAAAAAGAAGACCGCACTGGCTGCTGAATTATAGACTAACATATGCATGAAACCATAACTATGAAAGCGCGTGGGCATTTGAGCTTTACCTTTCATAGAGCGAGACCAATAGGTGACTGATCGATAGGATTACAATAGTCGCACCCGGACTAATATAGTTTTTACGCAGAAAAAGGGGACCGTCCGAAAGTCATGGAGTATAGAGCTGAAATAAAAATTAGCTAGCGTCAAAAGATTAAAGAAGACGCCAAAAAAGAAATCGCTTGGAGCAGCTGGAACCTGTTAAAGAATGGATTTTAGCTCTATTCGCAAGTTCATTACCAGATGGGTAAGTAGCCTATTGCACTGAATGACTTTCTTGGAATCCATTTGGCAGTGCCAAAACAAAAGTCTATGCGGTGTAGCCTACTATTGCCTAGTAGGCTACCAACTTGTTGGTCTGGTGGTTGCAGCTTGACAGTTTATTCTCAATGAAACATTGTTGCGTTTCTATGAACAATTGTTGGGTTTCCATTTCCCATGTAGCCCTTTACACTCGTACCCATTTACGGGTTGAAAATGGCAGATTTGGGCACTAATAAGCGACTAAATTGGAACGTAGTGGCTGTACAGCAACACGCTATACATTAAGTCAGACATCTGTCTCTGCGCTTTACAGCGCTATATGGGTTTTGATGACAGCCTTTCTGAACTTGAGTACCACTCACGACAAGAAGTTGCCCCATCCCTCCCGCTAATTGGGCAACTTTTGCAAATGTTTTGTTGTCAGAGTGAGGGAAATGCTGTAAATTAAGATGACTCAATGTATTTTGAAAGATGAGACGTTGAGGATTATAGTAAATACCGCTTTGATGTCATACAAGCAAGTCCAAATGTGCACTTCACATTTCCAAATGATAAAACTCATGTCATATACATTGTCAACGTTTATGATCACTATGTTTGGTGTACAGTTACAAGATGACATGTTGTCATACCCTGGGTTGTTCTGAACAGAATGAGCCTATGCTTGTTTATTGTGAAGGAAATTCGTTGTGGCACATGCACCAGAATGCACGCATGATTCCTTTGTATGTGCACCAAAATTACGATCTATTTCTCTGAATTGCCTTGTGAAAGCTGTAAGATCGTATTTTATAACTTAGCTAGTCATGTTGGCAATAGAACAAGCTTTCAAATCATGCCCACCTGACCCAGATAGCGATTTATAACGGATCGTTTTTGGATAGCGTAAATAACAACAGTAATTGTGTGATGGCGGGGATGCTGGGTTGTGTTCCAAAGGAAACAATTACAAGTGTGCTTGCTCTAGTTCCTCAACGGCACAGCTAGGAGAGCTAAAAAAAAATACCTTATAGTTGAAGACTCTTCTTTGAGTCATAAAGTGCATTGAAATTGCTTAGGAACTGTGCACACTTTGGAGAAGTGTGGCGACTTGGAGACACCAGTTAGTCCTCTCACTCAAACCCTTGTAATGTTTTTGTTTTATGTTGCACCTACCCCACATTTTCCAGGAATAGTCTTATCAGGTTACTGAATGTATTCAGAGTATTTTCAGATTTCGTTATCAACAAATGTGGCGAAAAGTACAGTAAATGGAAAATGTATATAAAATCAACAGTGTAATGTTTGGATTTTTTCTTGTGTACTCACCTTTAGTCCAATAATTTTTTGACTACATTTTCTCCAAACCGTTCCCTTTCAATTGCTACAATGGTTATGCTTTAAATATTTATTCGGTAAGAAACATTTAAATGTAGCCCTATCCATAAAGGCCAATTCCCACAAGTGTAAATGGTTAAATAGGCAACATCATTAAAAAATAATAATTCAGCAGAGTTTGTAATTGGTCGGTTTACACTTTTTGAATTGCACAATGTCACTATCATCTTGACTCTGTAAGGTGGAGTATGGTTTCACACTTAGAATACGGAAAGAGCAAGTCAGCTTAGTTGCATTTAAACCACCATTTAAGTCTATAGGGTTTTACAATTCAGTTTCGTCGAGCTTGGCAGAGTATTCAATTGTAGCCTATTATAATTGTGTAATTAATTTATAGCCTAGTTGCTGACAAAATAGTTTGTCGCTGTACACTACCAGTAAAAAGTTTGGACACACCTACTCATTCAAGGGTTTTTCTTTATTTTTTACATTGTAGAATAATAGTGAAGACATCCAAACTATGAAATAACACATATGGAATCATGTAGTAACCAAGAAAGTGTTAAACAAATCCAAAGAGATTCTTCAAATAGCCACCCTTTGCCTTGATGACAGCTTTGCACACTCTTGGCATTCTCACAAGGTAGGGGGGGTTTACAGGGCTATCTTCTGTAAACCCCCCCTACCTTCTCACAACACAACTGATTGGCTCAAATGCATTAAGAAGGAAAGAAATTCCACAAATTAACTTCTAACAAGCCACACCTGTTAATTGAAATGCATTCCAGGTGACTACCTCATGAAGCTGGTTGACAGAATGCCAAGAGTGTGCAAGCTGTCATCAAGGCAAAGGGTGGCTACTTTGATGAATCTCAAATATATAAAATATATTTGGACTTTTTTGTTTACTACATGATTCCATATGTGTTATTTCATAGTTTTGATGTCTTCACTATTATTCTACAATGTAAAAATAAAGAAAAACCCTTGAATGAGTAGGTGTGTCCAAACCTTTGACTGGTACTGTACATTTTCTTCAGTCATCACCAGGAACCAGTGCTGACTGCTGATACAGCATCAATGTCACCTCATGTCTTTTTCATGAAAGAGATAATGATATAAGCACACATTGGTCGGCAGAGTAGGCTACAGTCAAACTGATGCTCGCAATGACAGACGTAATTGACAGCACACGCCAAACGATCAATTCAGTATGCTTTCATTTAGGAAGAATAATGATTGAAAACTGAATCATTGACTGAAATGCAAACATAATAATAATGGAATTGAACTCAGGAGGTAGAGACCCCTGGTAAGGTTCTGTAAAACAACAACAACAACCCATGAATCAAATTCAAATCAAGTTATTTATTTTTTCAAGAATGCAAATATAATTTATTTATGTGTTGCATGTTAAAAGATGTAGAAAAAAATATTTCAA